AACTCATCGGTGCAATAGGCGTGAAAAAGATAAAACACCACAAACAAATATTTCAGCTGAAGTGATAAAATCACACAGTCAAGAAAAATGAGAATAAATGTTATGTACAATGTCATCTTTCTGATAATTATGCAAACGCATTAACACAATTAGTGACGTTGTAAGAATGTTTCAAGTTTATGTGCATTTGTTCGACTGTACACCATGGTGATGTACAATACTCAATTTATTGTGATGTACAAAATGTACGCTATTTTCAAATTCTCACAATGTTTTCATTACAAACTAATGAGAGGCTGTAAAATGTTTTTGTGTGCATTGCTTTCTCATTCTGCTTCATTTTAAGATATATGTGCTGTAGCCAGTGTCTGGAATGCAATGTTATAAGATTCAACCAATATAGAAAGCGCCACCTAGTGTATTCCGTACTCAAACTAAATTTGAATTTAAAAAAAATCATTTAGTTCGCAAATATTCTGAATGTAATTTTAAATGTAGGTCGGAAAAACTACCAATCGATTTTTCTCGCTTTTCCGATGGGAAATCGAGAAAAATAGCGAAAATTCGGTACCCCATTAGGGGAGTGGACCACGAGCACTCGTTTTCCAGAACACTTTGGACCAGGTCGGATCCACTTGCTCAACAAGATTCATTTCCAGCTCATTTCATCTCACAATCGCTTATGAACGCAGTTTACTCTATAATATAATTTGAGATAGATTTGAGAGGGGGTACTGAATTTTCGCTATTTTTTTCGATTTCCCATCGGAAAAGCGAGAAAAATCGATTGGTAGTTTTTCCGACCTACATTTAAAATTACATTCAGAATATTTGCGAACTAAATGATTTTTTTTAAATTCAAATTTAGTTTGAGTACGGAATACACTAGGTGGCGCTTTCTATATTGGTTGAAAATATATCAGACCATTTACTTATATTGTCTGTAGCTTATGCTATTGTCGAATTAAGCTCTGAACAGACAGACTCACATTGCTGAATGTAATGTAAAGATTTGAGGCATTAATGAGCATTGTAAATATTTTAAGCATAAATGTTTCAATACAGCTCTACTGCTCTTAACGTTCGACTAGACATAACGTGCTACAATTATATGTTGTGTTACGTGATATCATTCGCATTCGTTGATTTTACGTCTGAAACGAGCACTCTTAGAACGAAACGAGATTCTTAGAAACGGATCTCTCCACATTTTTAATGACTCGATTACATTTTCACAAACATTGTTGGACAATTTCAGCGAAAACATGCTGCTATCCTATGGTTCAATTCAAACCCCAACAATGTTATATTGCCATAAGCGACGGAACTATCTACTCTGCAGGTGAAAAATGTGTCTCATTTCATGAAAAATATAAACTATTACTTGACACATCACATCACTTAGCATTCAGTTTGTGTGTTCGTGTTGTGAGTGGAAAATGCATGTCAAAAGTCATTCGAAATGTCTAACAAGGAGTTATTGTGTCACTGGAGATATTGCTTTCCGACAATTTTCTTTTCGCAATTTTACACATTTTTTTGAACATATAGCCAGAATAAAATTGATAAATAAAAATTAGGAAAACAATTTTAGATAACGATTCGCTACCAACAAAGTATGCTTGAAGCCAAATACTTTCTAAAAAGAAGAAAATTTTGTTTCGTTCTCTGTGTAAAAGTAACTGGTGATTTCATTTTTGGTAAATATATCTGCTGAGCTTAGTGCCCAGCATGTCAAATTTGGAGGTATTTGCGTATTACAGTATCTGTACAAAAGCAGCGTTACATTCTGCACAGTGCACGCCCATAGGGGAAAATTGGTGGCTTTAGCCCTTTTACCTAAGAAATTTGAAGCTTAAAAAGTTTCTTATTTGAAAGTTCATAAAGTCTCTCATTAAAATGTTTCCTTTTTATGGGAGCCCGGAATTTGCATAGACTGTTACATCGGTGACATTGATTGATTGCATGAAAACAAAGTAATTCAATGCGAACAATTTAAAATCGAAAATTAAGTTTCTGATTATGTACAACACCGGTTATTATTTCTGGAATATAAAAAAGTGAGGAACAATCCAGATTATCTGAATAAAACCAATAAAACTTTTCGCACAATGAAAAACTTACATGAGGAATCTCTTCGCAACTTTTAAAATTTAAATATCTTTCATGTTATTTTTGTCTCTTGGATTTTATTTCTTCGTACTTACTGAACCGAAATATACACCGATAGTCAATAAGTCACATAAGCTAAGCTACAGAGAAAGTATTAATGTAACCACATAAAAAAAACTTTGATTTGATGGACTTTAAACGCCCACGATAATATAAACCGAGATCAATGTTCAAGCCATTTATATTGATTTTTTTTTAAAAGTAGCTTCGTCAGTTGTAATCGGCAATAAAGACTTCGATTCAAATGGATGTTGGTGGATTTAAAAAAAAATAATAAGTAAACCACGAAACAAATTTTGGTTTTGAATTTATAGTTCTATATGCATACGCACTATATTCTCAAATAGATTACATTCAATGAGTGCTAACTTCTTTCAATTGGATAACTACTTTGTTTGGGAGAAAAAGTAAGATAAAAAAGACACTTCTTTGTAGCTCTTCTTCAGATGTTTGTAAATTCGTAAAATTAAAAATATTTTCTGTCTATCTTTCGCTACAGGCATGTGTACAATGTAAAAATTTTTTATAGAAATTTTCTCAGTGCAGAACATGTAATATTAATGAAATTTAATACAAATTGACATTAAATGAGTGGAAGCGCAATCAATTAAAATTTTAAGAAAATATTTGTATTGACATTGAAAAATCAGATATGAAAGTGCAAAACGCTTTGTCTTTGTTCACGTTCACATTTTTATTTTGTCATTAGTGCATGGAAACATATTTCAGAAAACTTTTTGAATACATTATTACCAATTAAAAAGGTTCCATTTTTAAAACATCCATCAACTCCATGTCACAGCACTTTGTGACACCAATAGTTTCCAATGGTAGAATTTTCTAAAATCAAATACACAAGCTTAAAACGTACCCAGGAACGGCGAATAACATATATATAATATGTTGGAATTGTCATTTATATGTAGTGTAGAATATTGAAAATTTCGGATGCCAGCAATATCCCTCTACTCCAACTCCGCACATTATTGATATGAATCGGTTAGAATATTCGTGAGCTCAAGAAATTTGTTAAAGTAAAGTTCATATAAAAATGTATGTGCACGTTTCAGTTGTATTTTGACAAATTTCTTAAGGTCACGAATATGCTAGCCGGTTCATATAAGTATAAGTTTTTGTATTTATATTTTTCCATCCTGTTGCTTTTGAAAGCGTAGAGTATTCATATCTTTAAGTAGGTATACGAGCAACGGATTACTTATCTCAAGTCCATTCCAAGTAGTGAACTCAAGACTAAGCAAAAGCATGTGTCAATATTTGTTTAAATATATTTTCATCAATTCAGATTTTGGATTTCATCTAACACACAATATTACAAAACATTCCCGTATTCATACGAAATAAATTCTACCATGCTGTTTCTACCATGAAATTTTTATTAAATCTTCTGCAAAAAAGTAACTGCAACTTTATTAATATTTCGAAATATATATTCGATGTATTTTGATGGTTTTTATTTATCAAGCTTCTGAAAGCCTTCAAATAATCAGCAAAGAAACACTTCCCCCAAATTCGTTGCGGAAACTGTCGTGGCGGTGTGTAATGTCATTTATTTGCGCGAATCAACGAACGGATATTGGATAAATATGACAAATTTCTAGGGCAATTCAATCATAACCGAGTGGAGTAAAATTGTACGTACATCTGATTTCCTCTATAATAACAGCATGGAATGAGTAGTGTTCATGTTTGAAAAATGAAGTGTAGCATCCCCAATTCAAAAAATATCTCACTCTATTATTATAATTTGTAAGAAAATACATTGACAGAATGAAGAGAATGAAGAATGTAGAAATTTATTCAGAATTGTATACACCCGATGTGGATAAAGAAAACGGATCCACAAATTTACAGTTGATGGAAGAAAGAAGTGTAATGATTTTTCATTATGTCTGAGTATTTTTATGGGCTCCACGAATAGCTTTTTTATGTTTTGTTAGACTTCCATTTCCATATTAATATACATTTGAAAGTCAAGTGCAAATTTATAAAATAGAATGGATTGGCGATGAAATAAAGACAAAAAGAAATGTTGGGGTGGGCGCTTAGAATAAATTGTCAAGAACGGCACAGGAAATAGGACGTCGATAGCAAAATGTGCAAAAAATAACAGGAAAACGCCACTCAGTGGGTTGGCAATTGGTTTCTTGAACTTTTGATGTTCAATCTATGGCATCATATCGATCTAACTATAATATATAGTTTATTGTGTGCATGTAAATGCTTATTCATTCTAATGATGAATTCTATGATGGGTTAGTCATGTCACGTGACAACAAAAGTTGACCATAAATTTGACTTTTGTATGGGTATGCGTGTAAACGTTTGATGAAGGATAAGGCAGCGTTGGGTGCGTTCATTTTGAAAAATTCCATTCTAGCTAAATTCAAAAGCATTTCCAAAGTAATGATTTTATCTATTTTCCTATGTACATTTTGTATAATACAATATTACGAACGTTAGAATAATAGTTTTATAACGCACTCATTTATTTTCGAAATCAACACCCTCTATAACTATGTACTTTTTTATTTATTTTCTTCTTTTTTTTTGGTTGTTGTCCCGTCAAATCATATGTTTGTTCTATATATTACTCCTGATAAATATATGTCAATATGATATTCTGGATAATATAGGCAAATATTGACTGTCCAATGAACAGTATACTGGTAGTTATGACCATATATGGCCATGGGTTGTACAATTAAGAGTAAATAAATATGTCATGCATATGGCAAATATATACTGCATGAAACTAACGGAAAATGTGTGCATTTCAATGGTTTAATGGATTAAGATAAGATACTTACGTTTTTTGGATGCTCGATTTCTGATTTGCAACAGCAGTATCTTAGTCCTAAAAATAGTAGAAGCAATACTCAATTAAAGTTTCATTTATTGGATAATTAATTTAATAAGGTTCATGAGTTAATTTCATATATTTAACAAAAGAAAAAAAAAACAATTTTGTTGTTATGCTGTTTTTTCTTTGAATTTTCAAAAGAATTTGTCTGGCTAATTTTGGGATGATTTTAATGAAAATAGCAAAAGCAATTGGAATATATAAACTTAAAGCTTAATTAGATGTACGTGGGTAGGGAGATGAATTTCATTTGTGGAAAATTACTACCAGAAACATACATTGAAAGCGACAACAAACAAGACGAAGTAACCGAACTTTGATGCGTTGCAGATACAAGTACATTCGGCACAATGAATGTGAAACCATTTTAAAAAAGACAGTGGAAGTAGGCACGTATCGCATAACATTTGTTTTATTTGCATTTGGCTTGAATCAGCAGCAATAAAAACACAATTTGTGATGTGTTGGCGTTTCGCTTCAATGGATTCAAATAAGCTCAGACATAAGAGCACTTATCGATGGAGGTTGCAATACTTATAATAACAATCAACATCAACGATGAATTGTCTGATGCTGATTCGATGAGCATGTATTGAAATTTCCAGATCGAAATTCGGTGCCCGCGCAATGAACCATCAGTCGGCTGTAGTTGTGATACGGTTTTCTATCTAAGACCGTTTTTTTATATCTCCGGTATCTCCTGGCTTTGTATTGTTGTGTTGATGTGGGTGGTGTGCAACATCCACATTATATATATTTTGTTTAAATGAGCATGTCATTAGGAACCGTAAAGAGCGAAAATAAACCAAAGACATTGAAGAATACATTTCATGCCGAAGGAGAGACGCAAAAAGTACCCGCGCTTATGCATATATTTTTTTCTTCTTTCGTTCGTTTGATTTTTTTTTTTGATTCTTGTTGTTATGTAACGAAGCTTATGGGGTCGACACCGGCAAAAGATATTCTGTTTTCTTAAAACCTTGTTCCCCATCAACAACAAGATTGAAAGCTCATTTTATAATGGCCTTTCAATATTGATTTTTTCCATCACTCTCGCATTTTCTGCGCGATATATCGTTTCTCGTTTATTTTGTTCAATCAATTTGATAAGCATCACAATTAGATTAGGTTTTCTTCGCGTCCGACTTGTCTCACTGAATATTCACATATGCATGTTCATTGTCGATTTCAGGGACGCTTTACTATTCGTACATGTGACATATTCCAAATACATTAACAATGAAAATTTCGCACACATGTACACCACACATACTTGACATAATATATTCCGAATGAAAAATGTGATTTGATGCCAGGAAGTAAAACACAATTACGTTATATGCAATGAATGGAGAGATAAAAAAAACGCTCACCTCATCCAGCTTAGTGCTATACTACTCCAAATTTATCTGATTTGACGTGAATTCAATGCTCACAATTGTACTAGGCAGGGCACATATGTATTCATGGAGTTCAAATGGTAACAGAACAAATGGTAAAGTGAAGAAAATATTTTTTTTTTGCAATTCCACTGTCTTTTCATATATGTTTACACAGCAAAGGATTGTGTGTAAGTATTTTTCAATTGAATGTAAAATTTACATTGTGCTAGACATTTGCTACCACACAATTCATATTCACTTATTCTCTTCAGAATAAAATCGAAGAATCTATCTCTTATATTTGTTTATTTTTTTATTTTCAATGATGTCTTTTATTCAATTTTTTTCAATGTCATTTTTATTTCCATTTTCACTTACATACTACTTGTAAGTTTACATTCTATACAAAAGGCACTTGTATATTTTCACATGAAGAATTCATTTTTAGGGAAAATATTCACAATTATCGTCCGCACCAGTTTTGGTACTTGGTTACCATTTAAATAGGTTACAATTCGAAATAAGAGAGTGACAATAAATACCCAAATTCATTTCGAGACCTTCTCAAGATAAGGATTAGCAGCCAAACAGATGGGTTGGCTGGTAGATCGAGGGTTGATTATAACATAAGTAAATTTGGCAGTGGTCTCTGGCTGTAGGTAATAATGCGAATAAAATATAAACAAGAGCACCTATGGAAGACAAAATCACCGTTAAGTGGGTTAGCGAAGATGTATCCCAACCAAATATTAATGATATTATAAGTTAAGTCTTCGCTGAATTAACAACAAAAGAAACACAATGCAACGTATTTCACTGAGCATATAATAAAAAAAGGGACAAAAAACCGCAAAAAAAGTTCTTCGCTTTTCGACACAAGAAGACAGAAGATGGTATGTGGTTTTGCCTTTAATTTCGTGGCCAGCTTTTTAACTCTCCTTTTTTAATGTTCTTACCCGTGTAAACATTTTACATCCACAGTCACGGTATATAAATTGAAGCATTTTTGATCAGTATTATCTCGTGGAAGACTCTTTTTTTATTTTTCATAGTAATTTTTTAGTACTCTTATTTGCTATGCAAATAGTATTAAAGTTTTTATACACACATCCAAAGCTTTTGCTGGGTCGCATACAGAATTCAAAAATACGACGCACACAAATAATAAATTGCAAAGAGTACGACGCAATAAAAAAGCGAACTGAAAAGTCACAGCACAAAGCGCTGTGTGCAAAAGGACAAAAAATGAGTACTGATAATTTTTTCTTTTCGAGAAAAAGCTCTTTCAAAAAAAAGTAGATTAAGGAACATTGTGAAAGACTTTTCCAATTTTCAATTCACACTTCTTCCATGTATACGTATCAAAGTAATTCGCAACGAATCCTTGGAAGACATTCTATTTTCATTTGAAATTCAGCCATAGCCGAAGTGTAAAAGACATAACTCAAATCATTTCACTGCTCCTAATCAAATGCAAAGATGATATTTTATTCATTCATTCAAGTTCTTAAATAAAATTATGGAAAACTTTCTCGTCAACATAGACATGAATTTAAAGTTTCGAAGTGCATAATGGAAATGAACAACCCACTTTCTTTTCCAAACTAAACCATTCAAACCGTGAAAAATCTGTTTGCCATTATTCCAAATGAATAATGTAATTTGCTATTTATTTTCGAAGACTTGTAGATCCTCATAGATAATGGATCTCAATCATTTCAATATTTAATTGAATGGACTTTTGGTCCTAAGTGACATACATACAAACTCACGCGATGTTTAGCTGCAGCATGTGATGGGACATTGCAATTTCTTTAAACAATCAACATAAATAATACTGCGTATTATAATATATGCCATAATTGACGGTACAATAAGAAGAGTGCTACGTATTAAATGGAATATTTAAAATGAAAATGAGAATTTGGTTCATCGCAAGCAAGCCTTAACAGTGATTTCATTTGCAGAACAACGTAATATAAATATTGTGATGGCAGAACAACGACAAGCATACTTTTTCCTTAACTGCTGAATAAGAACGAACGCAAAACACACACACACAAAACAATGTGAGCACATATCAAACTCTTTTTCATTTTTGAAATATTTAATACGTTTTATTCTTCTACCGTAGCTGTCAACTCATATTCGATAAATTATAAGATGTGATTTTGTGGATTTCCCGAATGAGAAATTGTTTAAAACCGTACAATATAAATGGTAAAAAATATTTTTCTAAATCATTTCAAATGTTCTTGGAAAAAATCATGTTCGTTGCGTTATTCGAAGGAAAATCGATAAAAAGACAAATTCAGACATAACATTTAGTTTATAGAAATCATATACAGATTCCATATGTTTGTGAGTTGTGTTTGTTAATTTTCTGAGTACCTGTAACGTGTGATACGAGTACTATTATATACATACATTTTGACCATTTGTTCAGTATTGTGATTGTTGGTGGAAAAGGGTCTCTAGCACGTAGCTATGTTGTATCTGGCATAATTTAGACAAAGCACGCATGTTCGGCTCTGTTTGTGTATATTTATGTTTGTCATTTGTTCCACACCGTAATTTCGGCTTGAATCTGGACAATAAAATTGGATGGAGTCAGCAGCTGAATATGTCATTTTTGATTAGTAAAAGTGAGTGCTGGTCAAGCGTTAACCTAAATTATCACAACCAAGCTCTGAATTTATTCTGAACAAACGAGAATTTACGACGAACACTGTCATACTTCCACTCTGAAGTTTTCTATTTATTTTCTATATTTCCATGGGCAATGGCTAATGGAATGATAATAGTTTTTAATTGTAATTCCATTGGCTTCAGTTCATTCAAGATTCTTTTAATCGGATTTATATTCAATGCATTAACCTTATCCAAATGCCTAATTGGAAAATCGATGTCAATCGACATGCTTTACGTACGTTCCGCGACGACTGCCGCTGTGGCCTGCTTCAAAATGGAACCAATTCTCACCGTATTGTACATCGATTGCGAGAGACACGCATATACATATAAATATACTTGTCGAGCACGTAATGCCCATGAGAAATCTCGCGAAATATAATACCACTTTATGGAATTCATTCGAAAACTTCGTTATCGGAACAATCAAAAAGAGAGCACATGAAATTCGAATTATTTCAATGGAATGGAAGTTGAGCAAAAAAGAAAAATATTCCGAGACATGGTCTCATATTTGCCACAAAGTCCAATCTAATTGTCTAAGTTGATGTAAATTGGAACGTCTAGATAATTCACAAGTTCGCAGGAAATGTTAAAGAATCGTTAACAATATGGTTTTATCTTTATATCTTCAACAGTTACTGCATTTCGAAACGTTCACAGTTCAGATTTTGTACTTGTGTTCAATACATTACCACGATATATTTATATATCTGCATTGAAATCATTTCAATTATCATGAATATCTGAAGCATTGAATACTCGTTAAACTTTTATATAAATCAACATTTATCTAAATACATTGTATCTAGAAACTAAGTACTTTGTTGTAATTTCGTTGAGCTGTACACAAGCCAACGGGATTATTTTACATTGTTTTTCATTTTACAGAAAAAGTTCAGCAAAATGCTTGCAAAACAAAATAGCTTTAATGAACATTAGAATTTTCTGCGATAATCCATTATCAAGATTCAAATAAATATAAGCCCATTGCCTCTGGGATTTCACACAGACTCAAAATATGAAAGAAAAAACACACAAAATCATGTCAAACTTGTTCAAAACGAAGAATTTCTCGGTTCGGTATGTTTTCTGATACAGAATATGCAAAAAGTTTCGATTTCATTTCGACTTGAACATTAATATCAATTAAAAAAAAAAAAAAAACATAAAACCATAAATGCTACTCATTGTTCTCTTCATTATTCAAGAGAAATTGGAATTTATATGAATTTGAAAAAAACATTTCAATATAAAATATTTGCACAAAATTTCAAAATTTTTGGAATAAAATTTGAGTTTAGTTTCAATTATATTTGTTTTTCTATACATTGGCTATGAAGGTCATCATTTTAACCAGAATTCATGTGCGTATGTTAGCTGGAATCAAAATAATTAAATCCAAATAATGGTAGCATGTTCAATTTTTGATTGATATTACACTGAAAAGCATCTACTGTTCGAGGCAGACATTTTATTCTTCCATAGTCATGACATTAAGCTTGTGCATGATAAATTTTTTATCAGTGATGTTTTATTGTTTTTTTTTTCTGGGGCCATTCAACATTTGAACACCAAATGATACGATAAAATTCACATAAATAATATTAGTTCGGCTGGCATATAGCAACTTTTTTCAATAATATCCCACATGACACACTTATGCATATACATCGACAGCTGTTACGAGATAATTGAAATTGTCCTCGTATTGATAAGAATGGGAAAAATATACAATATATGTGTGTCTATCATACCAAACAAATGGTGGAAAATTGGCATGGTGCATGGCATGAAAAGAACGAAATAAACGATAAAGATAAATTGACGAATGAAAACAAAACCAACAAATTTAACTTGGATTTTACGGTGAAAGGCATTCTATTCATTGAATGAAATATCACTAATTGTGTTACTTCCGACAGTATATTCAATAAATTTGTGTTGTTTGGTTTCATGGGGTTTTTTGTACGAATTTTCTGTGTTAACATTGGCAATGAATGTGGTTTTTGTTGTACCAAAACACTTGTTGTATCGATCGTTTTTATTGTTGTCCTCATTTTTCAATTTCATTTAATCAGACTTCCAACATTTTCCTTCAACTTCTTGCTCACTTCCATATTTTTTTCTCATTATTCTTCGATTTTTTTTTATATTCCAATTACATGAGCTTGTTTATCAGCTACCGTCGTTTCTATATCATGCTCGAGATGAAATGACGCAATTTCTCATTTGCAATTTTGTGTTAAAACTCTCGGTGTGTTCATGTTAATTTTCCTGCGGACAAAGCCAACGTTTTTCTGATTTTTTAAAATATATTTATGCAGTCTGGGTGGTATGTGCATGTTTTATGCACAACTGTTGTTGACAAGTTCCGCTTATGAAATTATTTATATTATGATTAACTTTCCAATTCTTTCTCGATTAGTTAATTAAACTCAAAACTGAAATTTGCACCAGCGTAATAAAATAACACAATGATGTATACACATGTATGATACGTCGCTGTGTAACTCTTAATTTCATCCGACTTTAATGATATCCGAACTTTACGATGTCATTTGGTCTGTATTTAATGACTATTCACGCCAAATGCTGTTCACTTTTAATAGCATTTTTGCTGGGTATGAACGTTTTGTTAAACGAAGCGAACATAAATAGCAATGTCAGTAGGAAAATGAGAAAATTTGGTGAAAATCGATAATTTACTAAATCTATGAACTCTGGCTCGAAATGATATATTTTGCTTGCAAATGAAATGAATACATGAAATTAAATTTTCAATTTTCATTAAGTTTTATTCAATGAACGTAGGTATAAATAAAATCAATGATGAATATTGATATGATGTCAGATTTGATTTGGATGTTTATGTCGATGTCTATGTTGATATTGACTACACTGACGTCAATATGTCGTGTCTTTTTGCCATGTCTCTAAATAATTCTTTTTCTCTCGTTTCATTCACATGGCATTGGATTTCAAAGTGCCAAAATGCTTGATAGAAATAAAAAGAACTGAATCAATTCTAAATAATTTATAATTCAAAGGCTTGAAAATCACATTTCTCATGTAAACTACGGTATATGAGCAATATTTCTTTTGTAAACCTATATCTTTTGTTCAATCAAACAAAATTGGAACATAATCAATACATGAAAAGTTTAACTTTCGAAACACTCTTCGGGATTTTCAATTTTGGATGCGAAAGAATAAAAATTGAACAAGAAAAAAAAATTCAAAACCAAAATCCGATATATGAATGCGCTGAATAAAATTTACATAAAAAATAGACAAGAGAACACCGATGGTATGAAAGCTTTTTGTGTATTTAGAAAAGTTTATGTTTCATACCTTTCTCCCCTCAGATCACTGTAGATATCTTCGGATGGATTCAATACGGGTTGAGCGAGCTGTGTAAAATGTCCTCTAAAAATATTTAGATTATATGGATGTATCTATTCACATATAGAATATATTCCATTCTTCAGCACGTATGTGAAATGAGACGTTGCAAAATTGTCCTTGCTGTGCAATTTTTGTCTTCTCTTGCTCGATTTCTCTCTTTCTCTCTCTATCTTTCTTTTCCTATTTCATGTTTCTCTTTTATTTTACATTCGTTATTCGTTGTGTTCAGATTTTCGCAAGTATTTTTTCTCAATTGTTACGTATTAACGTGATATGTCGTTTATGTTTTTCGAATCACTAGAGAACAAATGCAATTTCATCAATGATACAAATAACCAGTGGGTGGTATGATATCAGAAATTCAGTTTCATTTGATTGAGCTCATATCAAAATGAATTTATTCCGAGCTTATCATTTAGAAAAATGCAAGAAATCCAGGTGGCATTGTTTATCCAATCAATCACTCGAACTTATTTTCACTAAAATTTGGTGAAATTAGATGGTTACACTTCGTTTTTATAATTACTAATTTCAAATAACACAATCGCATCAAACTAAAAAATTATTATAATTTCCCTTAAATTTTCTCATCAAATTGTGAAGTATATGTATGCAAAGGGTCGCTGTGACTTTGAAGAAAAAAAAATATTAGAAAATACACGAATTTTAACTGACGAGCGAAAATTCCGATGTCAAACTGACCCAAGAGCTTCCAATAAACTGATTGGGGGAACAAACTTTTTGTGATGGTTGAAGCAAATTTCTTGTCTGTTTCAATATCGCATTCCAGTGTACGGATAACAAAACGCGACTACAGCAGCGACGCTACAACGATGCGTTTGTTGCGCCGTCGCATCATTCGAGCGTATATCCAAAGCCATTACCAACGTATTAAATTTTACTTTTGTGGAAAATGCTGTTTTAACCTAGCCATAAGCAAGCTTTTACCTAAAAAAAGGCAGCAGTCATATGCATCAATTTCATTCCTAGTATTTGTTACTTAATGTCCTTCTGCTTTTCGATGCGGCCATACGATACGTCTACTTTATTTCCCATTCATTACATTTATCTGTCTGCATATGTGTTTCCATCAATACAGTTAGTTTTTCTTTCTCTATTTTTATTGTACATAGAGCAAATCCAAAAATATACAGACCATACAACAAAATTTCCTTTGAATACAAAAACAATTCAACTAAAATGCAATCGAGTAGGTATATTTGCAATAAACGAATTTATAGAGAAAAAAAAAGGTTTAAAATAAACGCTTAATCATTATCACATGTTTGGATTCCACAGAATTGTGTGGATGTGAACGATATGTAAGAGAATGAAAAAAAATATTAAATGCCAAACAGCGCGTTTAAATCATTTGCGTGACGACACAATGAAAATAAAACAAAGCAACATGAAAAATGACTTGCGTTTGCTAAAAAGAACTACCAAAACGAAAACTGCTACAGAAAAAATATATGCATGGAAAGGAGCGTATGTATATAAACGAATGAAAGTGGTTGCCACACACTGTGGAACACAGTAAAATGGCAAAAATGAGGGAGTAGTTTTCACTGGTCGATGCGTGTGGTTGTTTCTGCTGATCGAATGAATGGATAAATAAAATAAAAGGCTTCCAAGCACCGTTGTTTATGAATACTTTTTAGGCTTTTGTTGTTGATTTTTCGAAACAAAATTTATATTTTTCAATCTTAAAATGAAAAAAAAAAAAAAAAAACTCATCTCGCGTATGAAAATCACAAATATTTTCATTGAAAAGATTTCTTCCTTTTTCGATGACGAAGCAAACGAAGGGGAACAAGCATTCAACGGAAAACAATAAAAATGCAAAACAAGTCCGATATACTTGATATGAATTTTCCTGATGAAAATGAAAACATAACCCCGGCAGCCGTAACCCAGGCAGCCGACGATTTAAATTGGAAACGTATTGAAGCGGATGAGATATTACATTCGAATGAAAACGAAAAGAAATCATATTTGGAGTAAAGCTAAGAAAAGCCTTTTCATAGACGGTAATTTGCCATTTTCTGAATGGATGCTTCATGTTTATTTCATAATAAAAAAAACGCTGCCTCATCTTGTTCGGTATTTGGTTCTATTGTAGTTCGACTGCCATTTACGTTCACATTTCTTTTCTTTATGTTATGATGCCATTTTAGTTGGCCATTTTTCATTGGATTTTAATTGTAATCAAGAATAATTGGAATGAAATTTATTTGCTTTATTACTAGCACAAATCACTTTCAAACCATACACACTGCATTTGTTTTTCTTTCATTTTGATAGTTATTGTTGAGCGTCATTTAGCTTTGTGTCCATAAACACAAATACCATCCCAAAAACCGTTCCACACGCTCAGTACACAGTTCTAATTCAATACATAAATAACCGAACAGTGAAAGAGAAAAAATGGCAAAATGAATGTGTTTCGTTAAATGAAAAAGGCAACAACAAAAAATGAATCCATCCAAATTGTGAAATTCATCTATTCGAATCTGTGGCACGTGCATAATATGGTGTGCTATTGATGTTTCGGGATTGCACGTTTAGCATTTGAACGTCTAGTGTACAAAAGGCATCTTTACAAAATGTGATATTACAACATGTTTATGCGTGTATAGAACGCTTTTAATCTCAAGTGAGAGTGGAAAAAAAGAACTAGCAATGTACACGGCAGTCTCTTGTGACTACGACAAATGATTCAACATAAATCGCTTGAGCTATGAAAAGAAGAAGAAAAAAATGGGCGCTACATAACACACACGCACACGTCCATTTTTCACTGGGTGAATCAGGCGCAAAATACTTGTAATCTCTCTGTGAATTTGTAGATAAGCATTCTTTTTTGGCAGTGACTTGAGTGCTCACACCTACATAAAAATGAGCAACATTACATTTCGAATTGGACAATTTAGTAACCACCTCTTTCAGCAATGTCATATTTCATAAACAAAACCGAAAATAAAATGTTGATTCACCCTGTTTCGCAGCAAATACCCGAGTAGTAGAGGCACGAACTAACACACAGCTGTCGTGAATTTTATGTAATTTTCTATAACAAATTTATTTATTTTGTAAATTTGAACGTATGAAGGCTGTCTATCACGTTATATCAAAGGCGAAAAGCTCAAAATGAGCTAAGCACCAAATATCACAGAAAAATGAAAGCGTAAATGACTAAAACTTCAGTCAATTTATCTGTATTAAAAGATTTTCGGTTATAAAATATATACAAATACATAGATGAATGTACAATGTTGCTGTTTCAATGGTAGTTTTGCTAATCCACAAAACAAAGTCGAAGTTGTTCGTTGATTAGACAAAAGATATTGTGCACAGAATAAAATTTAAACCATTATTTCTTGTTCATTTCATTGGAAATTTACGATCTTTTACTTCAATATAAATACTGGAGCAACTATATCAACAGAAGCATTTCACTGCCAAACTCACTGAATGATTGAATTTTGGAGTCAATGTGACGGGACTGATTGAGGAAAAGTATTTTCTATTTTGCTAAACATGTTGGTGAAACGTAAACGCCATCAGACTTTAGAAACATTCAATGATTCCGCGTTTATATTAGCCGAAACGCTAAAATCGTTGAAAAAAAAACGAAAACACAACATCGAACGCGATTCATCGATTCGAAAAGATACAGATAGTTAAATATAGCGACTGGAAGCATTCCTTGTGAGTAGCGTACATTAATCGTATTTGCTAGACAAATAAATATTCTCCATGTTTATTTGCTCCAAATAACAGTGACATTTTCCTATTACATATGCATGGGGTTCCACTTTTACTTTTTTTCGCTATGGCTTATGCGACACCGAACTACGCTTTGTTTTGTTGATTTGTGATTGTTACCTTTTTATAATTTTATCATGTTACACGTGAACGTTGATTGGCACTCCGCCTAAACAATTGCCATTGAAACCCAGTACCGTATTAACGAAGTTACGTGAGCCCAGAATATTTTGAAAAATTCTGAGACATTCGTCGAATGGATGCTATTTTGGAGGATGATAAAAATATTTAATAGTGCCATCGAGACCTGCGAGGCAAACATTTCATATGGTTGATACGCCACTGCATTACAAGAATTACGTCTGAGGCTATAAATAAGCCTGAGCATAAGAAAGAACTACTTATTTTTGTATCACATAATGGATTTCAATTATTGAACTCTGCTGAGCATAACAATCTTCTTTGCGTTGATAAAATCAACTTTGTCATTGCATCTTTCGTGCTAATGCAAAATGTGATAAGAACTGAGTCGAGCAAATCAGAAAAGTTTCCATGATGTTTCTTCACTTCACACGGTTGGCATATCTCTTGAGAAGATGAGAAGGAAAACTTCGTTCTAAGATTGAATGGATTTTGAAACTAAATTGTTATCAAATTAAATGAGTAGCTAATAGAGCTTTTTCGCATACATAACATGGTAATTTCAGTGAAATTGGCTCCTAAGTGAATTCGTTTCGTAAATATGTTGAATTTATTATGACTATGGATGAAAATTTAAAGTGTGTAATCATTTGTTGTGGTTTTATGGACTACAAAATTAAAATTATTTTATCTAATTATAATAGTCATAAGTACGCACTATTCTACAGTGCAACAGCAATCGAGAGATGCAAATGTGTATCAGCTTATAATCAGATATTGATTATTACGTGATAAATAAGTTAAATTCTAAATGCTTAGATAATTGCATAATTTTTGACATTACCCAAGATGTGTGACTACACTTCACATTTCAATTTTTCACGCTGAAACAAATGATTTCGAACATTTTACCAAGAACCAAGTTAAATACAAAATGAAATGCGCATATTTCACGCAAAGTGAGAATAAAAGTTGTGACAATATCACGTTCGTTGAAATCCATTTGAATAAGATCACAACGATGCGAATGCAAAAGCTGTAAAATTGTACGGGTGTGAAATGGAAACATGTGCATCCACTGACATTCATTCTCTAAAAAATTTCGAGTTGAATAAATAAATAATTTCGAACTAGAAATGAAAAAACGAAACGAAACGCAAGTGTTCCGAATTCAATGACAATCAACCATGGCCTGAATAAAACATAATGATTGTAATACAACGACGAACGATATACATTTAACGATACATTCAATGGTAGAAGTTGTAGCACCGACAAATTATTACCGTTCCATGCCAACGAGAGAGAACAAAAACTTTATCGTGAATTAGATGAGGAAGAATGGCAATGGCGACATGCGACAATCAAAGTTTTCTAATTGAAAGAAGCTAAGAATTCAGCTATCTGGCTATGTTTTTCGATACCCATTTTAATGTTCGCATGAAAAATACGAACTCTAGCGCAAATGAAGAGAAGAAAGAAAAAAACAGCAGTGGAGATTTCCAACATGTGCATGACTTGTTCATAAGGATACTTTGAATACCCGTTGCTGGAAATTATTCATTTCATAGCGTTGGAGGAAAAAAAGCTTACCCCCTATAAAAGTTCACAACTTCTTCTTGAATGAATGAATGAATCAATCAAGTGAGGAAAAAGGCAGCTGACTGAAAACGGAATGAGCATTCGGATATTCAGTGTGATACAAATGAATTTGGACTTGCGATAAAATCAAATGGAAATCATTCAAAACTGGCTTCACTTTTACAGGAATGAAAAGAAAAAAAAGTAATCTCTGAAAGTCGATAATAAGTGCCTTTTAATTTGTTGGCCCTTTTTTTCAATTTCAACACAGCCATAATTTTTTAAGTACTGCTCCAATTTGACTTGTTAGCATAACAAAGTAATTCCATCCAAAGTCATGGGATATGCTGCATTCGCTTGTTCCATTTACTTTTTTCATATAATATAATAATATTATTTCCATTATTATTATTATTATTGAATCAAACGAAAAAAAGAAATATGTTGATGCTGAGGTCTTGTGATCATTATTTTGGATTTTTATCGCATTCATTTTACCCCGGGAAACAATTCCCATTCAAACGATATTCGATTACAAAATGTTCGCGGTCCTCGTTTCATCGTAAAACAAGCTGTGACAATGATGGCATGATGATGGGATGACAACAATAGTTAATGAAATGGTTTTATTACAGAAATATGACATAAACATTCACACACACTCAAACGAGATGGAAAAAAATAGAGATGAACGGAATATATCGTGCTGTGTTAGTTATATATTCATGATTTGATGAAGGCACATAGCCCAAATTATGGTGGCATTTGAATGGAAAGGATCTATCTATCGCATCACTGATTCTCATTTGTATTGAGCTCGATTAGGTGTGGATAGATAAAACAAAGCGGCACCCCAATACACATTCAAATGGCGAACACAAAAAAAATGTTTCACTTATAATATTAGCATAAAATTCAGATTTTAATTCAAAAATCATGAATTGAAGTTGGTGAGCTTTTCCATTGAAAATGATGTGAGATACGCAGAAAATGCTGCAGAATTATTCGGATATCCAGCTCAGCAGATGCGACGTGTTTATATATGTATATGGTATCCATTGGCCTTTAAACCGATAAATTCACATGTATTTTGTTGCTGTTGTTGATGAAATGATGATAGTAAATAGGATTAACAAAGTTATCCGACATCAAAGCCAATTTATGGCATTTTGTGTATGATCATCGAAGTCTAGAGCTGAGCCAATGAGCCGTCGAGCCGTCGGGCATATTACTGTTTCTAAAAATCTAATGTTACATAACATCAGTGATATGGCTCAAAATGATACGCATCAAAATGAAACAATTGCAGACAATTTTGTCGCACAGCTTGCTCGCATGTCTCAGACTGTAGTTGCTGTACTGTATTCACGTCATTTGATGCTACACGGTGCATATTTCATTTGTTTCGTTGCTGTTTTCTCGTTCAATAAAACTGTCTCAATCACATGAGCTTTGCTGTCAAATTGTAAGTGAAAAGGATGGTGATGATAAGTATTGTGGAAGTAACCAACAGCGACAACTCGTTTATACAATGTTATGAATTTCAGATTTCTTCGAAAAACCGGAAAAGTAAAACTGAATCTTATTATAAAGTCAAATGTGATCTAACGTTTTAACGTAAAGAAAATATTGCCACACTGATAATACCGTAAGCAAAAAGTGGATGATATTTGCGCTCAATGACACTCAATTTGGCAGCCACTCTCAAAGTGTGCGCTCGACAAAGCTAGTACTTTGTATTATTTTGGGGTTAGATGATGAAATGTGATTGACGATGTGTGCAAACTGTGAGTATTTGGTTCGGGTTGCGTGTATTTGATATGTATTTATGCAGAAAAAGATAAAATTATAATTCATAAATCCATATTATGATAGTATACAGAGAGTATATCCGTATATGGATCAAAAGAAAGTATGCACAACATCAATGACAATTTGGATTATTTGTACGAACATTCAAGATGAATTTAGCACAATCCAAGAAATTCGATGATTGATGTTCCATTGGTTGCTTCAGATTTTACACGCAATTCAGATTGCTCATCACTTAAAGCATGCTCATTGATTATAAAATGAACATTTTATTTATTTAGAGGAAACTTCAAAAATGTCTTGCATTTTTTTTCACGACAAATTCACAAAGACCTAGAGATGTCTAGAAAATGTGAAGATAAAAAATGCCAGTAATCATTTTCGATGAAAAGAACAAATACTCGTAAATGATATTATCTATGAATTTATATGAATAAAGTAAAAATCTATTATGAATGGTTGATTTTCGTATTTCGCATTTTCGATGTGCTTGTTGTGAATCAATGAAACAGAATGTAGAAGGCTAGGGGAAATGATCTATTCGCGAATGGACAAAATTTATTGATTGTATGATAAAGTCGTCATTTTAGTAAAATAATTCAAGAAATTCGCATACAATTCGCAAGCTATTCGCAAAAAGTTATCACAATCAAACTATATAATATACGCTTGCAAACGAACCAAGTGAATAGCGGCGACGCAAGAAAACGAAGTGAGTGAATAGCGGCAGCGGATAACATTTTTTCTTTCGTTCGTTGTCGCTATTCACTCATTTCGTTTTCGTGCGTCGCCGCTGTTCACTTGGCTCGTTTACAAGCGTTCACAATTTGATACATACAAAACTTACAAATTTTGCGAATTGTCTCACGTTCATAGCGTTTTGTTTGCGAATTGTTTTTTAAATCACAACTTTACTGGCCCATCGCTTACAAATCATTTCGCATAAAATTCGCAAAATATCGAATAATTCGCTATTTTCTGATCGAGATCCGATCCCCTAGGTAGAAGGTATGTTATCGCATTTGAATCTACAAGTCGATGAGATGATCAAATTTGAGAAATGTCATTGCGTTTGCATTCTTCTATTCACTGCTTTATTTGAGTTGTTTGAGTTCAATGTCAAAATTATCATTAAAATTGTGCTTTCATATCTTGCGTACGTTTTTCGTAAATAATCTATTGAGAGGCACATTTCCAAAGCGATACAATTTTGATTGGGGACGTGCTTTAGAAGTAAAATATCCCAATACTTTTATTAATGCTGTAACAACAGCCTCTGATGTATCGTTTCTAGCATAAGGCTATCAGACAATTACAAGTGATTCTCCTTTTGTGCCGTTTTGTCACATCGTAAAATGAGGAATATTGAAGATTGAATTTTTATTAATAATCGATAGGCGCCTCATTGTGATGGCGAACATTGAATCATGAAATCAGTGGTAGACAAACGAAATAAAAGAAAATCGAAGTGTAGGGACCTTCGAAATTCTTTTTTCTCTAAACGATTACCATTCCATGTCATTATTATTTTGTTTGGTCGCACCAACTCAACAGTCGTTTTTACCCATGTTGAACATTTTCTGTTCAATAAAAAAAAACACACACACACACTGTTTAATCAAAAAATCAATATCCAAAAATACAATAAAACCGTTCATATATAACCTTTATGGTTGCAACTCTGTATTTTCATTTTGTTCATTCATTTTGCCAATGAATTCATGTTTAATGCAAATCGATTCGCAAATGTTGGGTTGGCATGAATGAAATTGCCAAAGCAACGTTTTGCTGTCGGCATCAATATATCATGTGTACCGATATAGAAATATCTTTGAATGATTTTTATGTTATCGCTTGTGTGCAACGATACAAAATGAAACGTCTGTATTAAATAACGTGCACAGGCTTACACAGAATAAAAGAGTGTAAAAACGATAATGCTGTAAAGTAAGTACACACTCGTTTCATTCACTTGAAATTCGAAGTAGATGCTACCTGTATTAATTTTTTTGTAAACATTTCGATTCGAATTGAAATGTAATTTGAACGTTCTAACTCGATAAAATGTCTAAATTGTTTCAGTAAAGAATTCGCTTAATACAATATATCAATTGAAATAATTTCATGTTTTAACACATGTTATGCAACATACGTATTCAAGTTTTGTGCAAAATGAAAGCCATCACGCAATGAAATTAAATTTCGTTTAAAATTCAAATGTCGATTAATTTACAGGGAAAATTATATGGAAAATGCTACCAAACGAAACGATATAATAATAATAATTTGGAAAGGAATAAAAATAAATTAAACAGTCCGATGTATCAAATATGCGTGAACTTGTATAATTTGTGTGACTTTTCGACGTCGATGTTCTTTTTTTCTTTTATTGCTTACTTCTCTTCTATAAACGTTACATTTTTGATGATTTATATTTCAACATTTCTTATTACATTCTCTCTCCGTCGCTTGCTTTAACTCTGTATTTTTGTCCGCTTTTGTTATTATACTCATACGTGCAGCTTGTTTTCTTTGTTAGTCTAACAACGATAAAAATCTTTGGCACCCTATTTTTTTTCTATTTGCAAAGGAGAATAAAAAATAAAACAAAAATTCCTCTATTCCCATAGAATTGGTTTACTTTTTGTTACTTGCGTTCTTTTTTTTTTGAGTAGCTCTTTTGCTATCGTATCGATTTTCTGTTTGAAATGTAGTTACAGACTGAACAAAAATAAAATATATAGAATGTAATAGCGTTTTTTCCCTAAGTATTCAATGTTTAAATTCAGAACGGTGAAGCTGACTACGAAAAAAATGAATAAAAACCAATGTTGAATACGTACCTTTCAGTTGAATTTCGCTCGATGGTTTTCTCTTTTAAATGCTCACAAAAAGATGAAACTGGCGGTAATTTAATTATTATTTATTTGAATCCTTTCATATTATTTATCATTTTTATTACAGTCGAGCTCAGCACAACTACTATTTGTTTGTTTTTTTTTTGTCCAATTGTTTTCAATGGTTCAGTTTTTTTTTTGTATGAGTGCATGTGTGTAAAATTTCAGTTCATTGTGTCTTATGTATAGAGCTTATATTTTTAAGTATATTAATGAACAGGTTGGAGTACAATTGTTGAATTTATTTATTTTACTCAGCCAATGTTTATTGAGAACAATGACTTTTTTTTCTTTTTGAAAGAATTTTTATCTGAATAAAAAAAAAGTTTTAACTTTGCTCGTAAAACAATTGATATTGGCGTATTAAATTATTCATTTTTTATTAGAAAAAACTGCACGTATACATACTTTGTTGAAAAACAAAAAGAACAAATTACATCTATCAACTTTCTGTGTGTGGTTGTGATTTTGAATCATTAAACGACAAAGTATAATTAAAATATCTTGTTGTGTTTCCACCTTAATTTTGGACTGAAAAAATCGTTTTTTTTTTTCAAGACAAAGAAAGTGTGTGTGAACCACTCGACAGACACGTGTAGACTAATCATGAAAACCTCACAACAGACGCTTTTTGGAAAGTGTTCATCGCGTTATCTGATGAAGCTAAAAAAACGGACGCATATTTATCCCCACTACGTTATCCTCTTCTGCATAGCACACGATATTGTTGCTTCACCTTCATTCAAATTGAATAAAGCTTGCGTTTGAACGCAAATTGAAATGGGCACCGCACAATACGGTGGAAAACTCCTTTGGACTATAGCATAATGGCTGCGCTTTCCGTCAATCGCACTGGCGCAATCGATGACGACGACGATGTCAACGCCAACCATCGCATCTTTTGATATTTTCAAGTTCGATAGCCATTACATTTCGGATTCATGGCATCATATCACCGTTATCATAATCGTTAACCAGTTTCAAATATGCCTGCGTTCATGCGTGGGTATAGCTGTGGTTGTGGCTGTCTTTACGGTATGCATCTGTTGCCTCAATACTGATGTGATAATGTGCGCAAATGGCATTATTCACATCGGTTTTTATATGATGTACACACATTTGACTGATGTGTATGAAGTTGAGTTTAGTTAAGTATACGAACAGAGAAACTCAATATATCTGTAGCTTCTAAGCGCATAGCCTAACGTTACCGCTAAATAAACATACGTGCTTTTGATTAACTCGTTTGTTCCAATTATAAGTATTCGCTTCGGAAATGTGGCAAAAAAAATTGTTTTCCGAAGTAACTAACTTTTTTTTGACCATGCTGCTATTTCTTTGTTATTTTCATTTATACCGTATCATCCGAAATCCATCGAATAAGCAAATTTCGGATGGAGTTTGTTATTGAATAAATAGAAAATAGAAAGGCAATGGCGCACAAAAAGTGACGCAACCAAATGGATAAAGTGCTGATGTCTCATTTGAGATTGGCATTTATGGGCTTATGTTTTACGGACTAAATGTTTGATGCTCATTTGATAGGAACACCAAAGTGTTGATTCAATCTATGGACACCAAACACAATACATTAGATTTTTTTTGTAGCTGATATCGATGTTACTATATGCCATTGGATACACCCATTGATTGACAGAAAAAACTTTTGGAACAAATATATTCCAAAAATTTAAATTAAATTTCTCGCCACGTTAACAATTTACGAAAAGTTAATGTCAAAAGTTCGTCGCGTAATAATGTGCGGTGTATACCAAAACTAACGAACACAGTTCGATGTGTAATATAGACGCTTCAGCAGATGATAAACCATAGCAACACATCAATACTTATACAAGACCGTTGGATTGACTCATTTTGATTGGAATTGGGGATTTGAGTCATATTTATTTGGGTATTTTTTATAAATGAAGTTCCTTTTACTGAGAACATTTCAAAGAAATTAACATATTCAATTCAAAGAAATTAACACTTGTATAGTACCGGTATTATTTTCTGTAAAAGTCATGCTTCAAGTTTTATTGGTTCACTTCAAATTATGAAACCTGTAGATTTACAATTGAATGAAGGAGAATTAAAGTGACCAAAAATCCTCTTTAAAAATGAAAGAGCAACAGGATTTCGGGTTTCTTCAATTCTCACCAATTTAATTAATCATCACTTATTCATGTTCAATCATAGTTGTAGATAAAACATTTCAGCTGGCTGAGTATTCAATGCATGCGAGTCGCAACGCAATGTTGTTCATCCCATTGATATTGTTGTATTTGTTATCGATTTGTCATCTTTCTGGTAATAAAAGACTAATAAAAATGACGATAAAGGAAACTATTTTGTTACCTCTGTTATTTTGCTACTGCTATGCCAACAGCATCCTACACTTACGATTTACCATTTAAAAACTCATTGAACCACGCCGATAACAATCCCCAACATAGACTCCGATATCTAAATGAACATTTTGCCTAACGAATTGTTGTTGTTGTTGCTACTGCTGCTGCTGAGTCGATTATAACCATTTCACATCGGTAAAACCCATTTATGTAATTGAATGTAAAACGAAAAGCCATATAATATTCATACATTGTTCGATTGTGTTGCCTGTTGCCTGTTGCGTTTAATGGACTCGAAATGAAGAAAATATAATACTTGATACGCATTTGTTCAAATCAATTGATTTGAATTGAGTGATTCACTTACCTTGATTCTATTTCCATTTATTATTTCAGCTGCAACAATCTTGTGTACTTGTCTATTTATCGTTAGGTGATTCAATATAGTTTTAGAAGGGAAGCAAGTAAGTCTCATTTCAATTATTATTTACATAAGTCTAGAAGTTTTTCCATATTTTAAAGTGGAGTTGGTTGAAGATAACAATAAAAAATTAAGAAAAAAAATCTGATTTGTGTGGTGAAAATGATATTTAAAAAGTGCGAGAACAAAGTAAATGCAGAGAGCCTCAAACGCTTCCAAAATGGAAAGTATAAGTGCATTTGTGCGTATTTAATTTTATTTTTCATTTCTTCGTTCTGAATGAAATCGTTCTTAGCCCTCAAATTGTTATAATGGAAGAACGAATAAAGCATCAACATAAAGTATGAGTGAATTAGTTTGAAATTTGTATTATAAATAATTTAATTACACTTATATGTGCAACACTCTTTGATCCTTACCCCAATGAGGTTACCATTTTAGAAATATCATAATTCAATATTTGCTTTCAATTGTTTCCTCGTTTCATATGGGAAGTTTCAAGAGTGTGCGCAAAAGTGCCATATCAAGCGATAGAAGCATAATTGGCAAACATACACTGTTTTAACATACTTTAAAACATTTACTCATCTTTGCTTTTCAATACAGTACACTGACTTTTCTTACTTTTCTTAGTAATGGAAAGACAAATGTTTGCATAACTAATAAATAAGTGTGTGGTGTTGGCGGTCTAATTAACCCCTTTGTCCAATGAGAACTGAAAATCCATAGAAAAAGTGCAACGTGAAGATAAGAGTCATTCTCTTACTCGCGTGGCTCTTGAAAATACCGAATTTATAGGTCTAATGAACTATAAAAAAGTATTCAGATCGTAATAGCTTAATTAATATAGCGCATATGCAGCAATACAAACCCTGGAAAAAACCCTCACCACAGTGCTTCATGCCTTTTATGTGTTCTTGCCAATTCGTGTGTAACAACGCTGCGAAGCTTTAAATCAAATTGAATGGATGATCCTTCAAATGTTAAATGAAATGGAAAAATGTGAGCATGTAAAACCAAAATAAATTCTCGCATCGTATATCGCATCACCAGCCAATGCTATCTATAATAATGCACCTAGATTCCACAACACGCAATTGAAAAAACAAGAGCGACGACAAACACAAATTATATTCACATCGAAGAAGCGACAGTATGATAGATAAATTGAGAAAAAAGGACATGCCTTGCTTTGATCTAGAAAGCGTAAACTTTTTTGAAAACATGAAACAAATTCCATACATCTATAAAAATTTATATGGAAGGCTGTGAAGTAGAACCAAATAGAAGAAAAACCACAGTAGATTTACTTCGTACAATCTTTGTCTCGTTTTGAGAGTACCTGTCATTTTTCAGTCAGGTGAATCGAAAATTTAATAAGCTACCGATTCCGTATGTGGACGCTGAATTCATAAAAAAATTCGTTTCAGTTGAGCACTGTTGAGTGTTTTTGTCAGTCCTTTTTATATTTCCACAATCAGCTATACGAACAAAAAAAGATACTTTGACATTCGAATTTAATTACATATAAGCGAACTAAATGCTTACTTGTCTTTTTAGATTGCACAATGTGTTGGGGAAATTTCACGTTGCATATGGGTGCTCCGTAGTATAAATTCAGTGAATCAAATGCAAAAGGGGTTTTTCTACTCATGTTGCAGGTCAAATAACGATATTATGGCATTAGGAAAACACACCCTTCGTTCAAGTAAATGATGTGCGCAATATTTTGTTATTAAATTAAATTTCTTTGATGTTTCGATCAATTTCGATCACGGTTCGATATATCTTTAAACATTTCTCTGTGTATGCGGATTTGGCTTCATCAACTCCGTAGATGATGTTATAAACAGCTAATTTTCTCATGAATAAATACATTTAGATGAGTTTGTATAATTTCGTTATTTATAAAATATCCTAATTTATTTATCTTTATTAAGCGAGTGCACCGTGGCTAAAACCCTTTTCAAAGTTTACATATATCGGTATATCAATAATACAACGATGGACAATCGCGGACACATGGTCATATTCGATGGAATGGATTTATCAACCTAACTTTAGGTGAAATGCTAAACCCTTCTCTTTAAAACAATAAAACAAGCAAATCGGTTGAGTAACAAACAACCCTTTTTGAATCTATTTCGCTCCGCTCGGTTCACACCATGGCTGAAGTTCATTGAAGCGTATGATTTATCTATTCATAGATTTATTGCCGCTCCCATAGTGGAGCGATATAGATACGTGCAAACTATATACTATACGTACGTATATGCCGTTTTTATAAGCCCATAAAAGTGGTTACACGTGGAAATGATGAGGTTGATGAATATGAAAAATGACAGTGTATACAACAAGCGATAAAGAAGTTTTTTTTTTTTTTGAAAAATTTCCACTCAGATGATGACGATAACAATTATTCCAGCTCTTTAGACGACTAATGAAATCTTCATAATATATGAGTGATCCGAGAGGAAAATCCCTGCACGATGCACACAAATGTGAATTTTAAATAGTTTTATGTGATGGATTTGTATTCGCCAGTAAAATCAGATAAGTTTTATGTAGACTCCATATAATATTATTACAATACCAAAAACAAATAGTACTTACTTTCATTATAAGGAGAAAACATCAATAACATTTCTTCGTTTTTTATAAAATTTACTATTAGTTGGTTACTTAAGATGAACGATCATCACATGTATCTACTGTTATTATTTTATTTGAATACCATAGAATGAATGAGAAATATTTTTTATATTACCAAGTAAACTGAACTCTATTTTGATCGATGGGGCACTCTGCTGCCGTGGAGGTGGGGGGGTGATTTTTCAAAACCAAAAAATTCTCTAGCAAATCAGACAAATTTTCGTTTTTTTTTTTGGAAGTCACTTTTTGAGGCGAAAATCCCTAGCAAATTGAAAGAATTTTCTCCGCGAAAATCGGACATAAATCTCTCGGAACCAAAAACCCTAGCACATTGAAAGAATTCTCCTCAATTTTCTACATTGATGAGCTAAAAAAAAGGTCTTCACTATTTGAATCAAAAACACTAGCAAATTCGAATAATTTTCGCGAAAAAAATGTCTAATCCAAATCACAGGGGGTAAACCCCCCTCTACCTCCCTCCTACGCACACTACTGACGCACTCTATTATACTTGGTATCAATTACAAATACATAGTTCAAATATTCAAAATATTACATAATGTATTCATTTTCGCCGTGGATAAGTACCTCTCTGTTCACATTTTCTGTTATCGTTCAAAAGCAACAAGATTCAAAGGCCAGAGAAAAATAGTATATATTTATTCTAAAGCATTCATTTCATCACCCCCAGTCCATCGTTTTTATTTTCACATGTGATTGATTTTTTCCACATACGCAATTAAATTGAATGAGATTAATCGGACGTAAACAAAGCTATCCGAACACTGATTAATAATCGACAGTTTAGCACGTTCCTTTACGGGGCTATGTTTAAAAAAAGAAGAGGAAAATTTCCATGTGAGTGAATGCTTAATTGCCAATAATGATGTACGCATGATACCAGAACAAAATTATTGTTCTTCATTAAATGCAAAAATAAAAGAAAACAAATGAGTGAATGGAATGGACGGTTCCTTTAAATATGTTTCTAATTTATTGTGTTCATCAACATTGTTATCTTATGCGATTATATAAAATAAAACCTATTTACATAATGGATGGCATCGAGAATGCCACAAAAACTTGTCAACTTAAAATACAATTTTATGTTTTTCAATTGTTCAGTGTTGTGTGCATATTTAATTGTTCGCCGTGGCCATTTTTACAAAATGTTTATCACGAGCCGCACGCAGTGTGCATGTTAAGCACTCATTGGGCATCCATTTCAATAACAAATAGCAAATGAAACAAATAATTGCCGATTGTAGCACATGAAAATAGAATCTAAACAGCGCATTCATTACCAATAAAATGGCAATTGTATGGCATAAATGCTCACAAATTGCAATGAATGCAATGCATCCGTATCGTAGTTTTAGTGAAAACGTTTCGGAGAGTTCGGAATAGCCGACGGTGTCAATGGAAAATGCAACAAGCAAATAAAAACCATAAATCACACACAGTAATTTTGAAATGTAAAATGTAAATAGCAGTGAATCATCTGTATAACTGCATACTAACGTTCCAACGAAGAAAACTAGATTTATGGCGGCAACGCAAATCGTAACTTTCAATATAATTCGATTGCGGTAGACCTGAAATTTCTCCGCCAAACATAAAAATGGAATACCAATTACTATTTTCACTACAGTCACAAGCAAAATGAATTTTGTGATTCGAAACGAAGGCAAATGATATGAATTGACGCTATGCATAAACAAATGATTTAAGATCGTCGAATTGTTTGCTACTGAAATGATAGATTCATTTCTGGCCCATGAAATCGAATCGTTGTTGAAGCCGATTTGATTGGAAAGAGTTTCATTAATTAAATTTGCAAACAATGTAGTATTACCATTAACGTCGGCAGATGTACTTTTGTCGAGAGCAAAACTCTCGCTTGCATTGAAATGGGTGAGGTTTTCGAACACATCCGACAATGGTTTGGACATAGTTGGTGTTGAACACATCCAATATTGATAATCGAACCAAATATTTGCTAAAAATAACCAGTAAATGCAGTTGCTTGTTAATAAAACGCTAAGTAAACGTAATAATAGAACTAAAAATAATGGACGCAAATTGCTAAACATATTTTCACCATCATTACTGTAGTCTTCGGCCAGCATCATTTTGAATTCATTGAAATCGCGTCTTATGTGGTGGCGGGATTCATTTCGTAATTTTAGCATAATTTCAAGGGCACGCAGATCGGTGCCGTTTTTGAGCAAAAATACAATCGATTCATAGGTACATGGCATGAAAATCAATGTTAAAATGGCCAATGCAAACATCAACACACCAATCGATGAGGCAATACATTCACCGGTTACAGTGGATATGATTTCGGCCAGTTTTATCGTTGGAAGTAGATTAATCGCTGTAATGGTCCACATAAAATGTCGGCGCATATATTGATTTGAATTGTCTGCTATGTGTAGGACGAGTGTAATTAGTATAACGCCATACAAAATTCCAGCGGAGACACGTCCAATTAACAATAAATACGGCAACGTTCGATGCAAAACAAATGCCACACTAACTGGTACGATGGCCACGGAAACCGAATACTAAATGGAATGAAATAATATTTGGTTAAAACGTTGAATGTAGAACGCAACATAGTATTTTCTTACATAGATCAAAATTTTGCTGTATCTCGAATTGAGAAAGCCACCTATTAGGGATCCAACCGCCGCTCCTATCAGAAAGGCCAACAAAACAACCATTTCCACATTTTGATAATAATAGAAGTACATGTACATTTTCCATAAAGACCATGATATGTGCAAATTTCCAAGTGCGCACAACAAAAGCAATCCTATTGTATTCCATGTTAAAATTTAATAGAACGAAACCATTCATTGAGTTGCTCAACTCACCTGGAATAAGAGACGTCAATTGACGCCAATTGTGTTTAAATAGATACCAAATACTCGTATTACGTTCCAAACCATTCACTCGCAATGATTCCGTGGAAGACATAACATGCAATGGAATAGTAGTAGTTGAACTATCAAGTGGATTTAACTCCTTATTCTCCAATGACAAAAGCATATTTTTCCTTTAACTTATTACGTCTTATTTATCTTTGCTATGAAAATGTTCTTTATACGTTATTTTATGTTTAAACAATCACTTTTGATTTTGCATTGCATCGCAATCACTCAGAATTGAGTGTATTCAATGCCGTTCAAGTAAGCACTCTCGCAAAATCAACCGAGAAAATGCACAATAGTCGCACAAAATCAAATGAAAAATTGATTCAATTCAGTCTTTCAGGCATTATTCACATTTCAAAACGTCTAAATCGGCAAAATATCCGAATTTATTTAACTTTTTTTTTTATTTCAATCAGAATCGATCGAACGAATTCAATATACACGAGAGCAAAACTATTCTTGGTCATGACTTATAGCTTATGCGATCCTAAACATTTTGTTCACAATTGTCTAATTTTACTAAATTGAATGGACCTCGTTTGAAACTGACTGTAAACTGATGAAAATTGATTGAACATTCTAAAACATTTATACGCACACAGAGACACGCACACATAGAAACATCGAGAATTCTCAGAGAATCATGATAAATTCTAGATAGTTTGAAAAGAGGCGAGAAAAAAAACACACACTCAAAACGATATAAAAAGAAGAAAAAAAGAGAAATAGGAACCGAAAAGTAAACAGACACATATGCAAAACAAAATTGTTATACTTTCATTCACGGTATGATATATGTATTATCGTGCACATGAGTGACGGAGGAGTGTGGGTTTATATTTGTTTGTATACAAATTCATGAATGAGTTTTGTGAAAACGAAAATATTATTTCAGTTTTTCACTGTTTGTGTTTCTTTTTCTCCTCATTCCAAGCAAACGGAGCATATAAGATGTATCTATTTATAGGACGTGTGTATTGGAATGTAAAAGAAAACGACGTTTGAAGAGAATTCATAAACAGAAAATATTTTCTTATTTTATCGATAACTAAAAGCAAAACTACAAACCACTTGAAAACTCTTAAGGATGTTGAACAAAAGTAAAACACTACTAACACCATTTATTTTTCTTTCCTTTTTTTTATTTATTTTCGATTTATCAACAAAGTCCACAGCCTTATTTGAATAGAATAATGGTATTATTTCATATAATTAATTTGTTTGTTGTGGTTTTGTCGTCTGGTTCTGGAGTATTCATCGATGTGAGCTTGTTGTGCGTGATTAACGATAGTGAAATGATTGCAAGTGAAGTAACAATCATTTTTGCGGTAATCCAATCATTTAGATAAATCACCGAAAATAATAAATCCAATAAATGCTCGATAAATGAGGCAAAGGTCAGTGCTATCACCCTGTTGCTGGGAACGAAACCAAATTCAAAGTCCATTTTGAATGCGACACGGTGATCAATAACATCCACAACTAAGCTGAATGCAACGTATAATGTCATTATTATGTAAAATTCGATTGTGTATTTCGTCAAATGTCTGAGATCAAATAATGGAAGAAGAAGAATTGCGGCAAGCAATGTCGTTAAAGGCATAATGTAAATGATCGAGAAATAGTTGAATTTGACATTGTGACGAGCTAGCAGAATTGTAACTGTGCCAAGAGCTAAGCGCGACAGTAACAAAACAAACAAATGTTGTGATCTGTTGTTTACGTCGGTCAGCAATGCATTTGGTTGAATAAAAATTTGTAAAGCAATACTTACAAATGGCAAAAAATAACAAAATGTTGTCAACAATTTTGCACCGGCTAAATAAATCAACGGTTTTTTGACAGTCAAATTCATTGCGCTAAATTGAACATTCGTATGCACATTTTTTGTTTCATTTTTTAGTTCTGGGAACAGACAGTTTGAACTCGATAAATTAAGCGCAAACAAACTATACAATAATACTAATGAGATGCTGCAGATTTCGGGTGAAGCGTCTGCTTGTGTTATTGAAATTATTGTTGCTATTGTGAAAAGACAAGTAAATGGCGATAGGCTGATTTGCAAATGCACAATTATCACCGAAGATAAATAAATAAATCCAATCAATGCGCCCAATACGATTCGCAAAGGAAAATAATCGTAAAATGATGATGATTCGATGGATAGCTGCGTTTCAACTAATAGACATATTATGAAGGAAATTCCAGTAGCAATCTAAATAGAGAACGAATGAAAGAGAGAGAGAAAAAAACACGTTTGCACTCGTTAGTATCACTCGAGTTACTTTCATGCGACGATGGAAGAGGAGCATGTGTGTTTGAATGGGTGTGAAAGTTAACTTACCAGAACTAATTCGATTTTGTTACGATTAATCGTGTGCAAATGAATGGATACCAAAGTTCCAATACAGGTTCCGAAGTAGTACAAAGTGATTACAAAAGAAACATGAAATTCATGTGTGATACGCTCGATTGGCGATATAATCGCTGAATAATATATGTTGCACATGACCACATGACCACACACTCTTTTGTTCTGATATGATTTGAAATCCGTTCGTTTACTTCTTATATTTGGTTCGTTTATCATGCGTATAATTTTCACTAAATCCAGAAATATCTCACATCCAACCCCTTTTGTTTGCCTACCACATTCTCTTTATACTGATTATAAAATTATTGTATTTATTTATTATTTATTTTAATCGGAGTTAGAACGACGAAGAGTTGTTCATCGAACACATCTAACAGCTAACTAAATACACAGCACAAAATACAAAATTTTGATCAAAAAATTGTATATCCCACGCATTTCAATTAAAAAATGTTGTTAGCTTGTCACGTATTATTAGCGCATTTAATTTTCATCGTCGTTGACCGTCGTGGCATTTTGAAATCGCTCTATTTTTACTTTTTACACCGAAAAAAAAAATGTTAAACTGACAAAAAAAATTAAGTTTTGTTGTCAAAAAATGAAAATTTGAATAAAACATTTTTTTTTTGTTTTCTTTTCTTCCGATGAGATAAATGTGCATAATTCGGCTTCAAATACACAATAACTGGTGTCGTTGAAAAAATAAACAAATTCAATTTTGGGATAAAATATCAAGTTCGTTTTTTTTTAAATATATTTAACAGTTTATTAAACTTTGTCATTAGACTTACACGGTTGAGAAAAAAAGTAACCTATACTTTCAACTTTTATGCAAATTATAATTTTGATAAAGAAAACATATTTGAAACTAGTATTTGTTTTAACATTACTCGAAATACTTCGTTGTTTCTTTGTTGTTGTTTTTTTGGTATATACAAAAAATATCAATTTCAACATTGCCAACTTTTACTATCAATAATATAATAGGCAATTAAAAGACTAATTCTAGATTGAGTATTTATTTGCTTGGTGCAAAAACATGTGAAGTAAAGCACTTTAATATTTATTCACTTCTATTCACTTCTAAGGCCAAAGAGTAGAATGCTCATTTTTTCTTAAATTTACAATGCTCTATCACTAATCTTATCTATTCAAAAATATTTATGATTATTTATTTTATTTATTGAAATGAGGAAAAAGAGAACGGCATGGATTTGCTTTCGATAGCTTAGGTCCCTATCGATTAATGTTGAATCTCTTACCGTCTGTTTGTCTGCTTAATATACATATTTTAAATAAATTCTTGTTGTTGATTGTAATCGATTTTTGGATTATTGAATAGCATTAAATCAATATTTTTATATTGCTCCCGAGCTTCTCCAAGCGAGAGATTATCTTTTTGTGGCAGATTGCGAGCAATTTCGTGTGACATAAATGCAACAGTACACATTGATATTATAATGATTGAATTGTGGAATGTATCACATAAATACAATGTTATTAAAATGATGTGCACTAAGTGTTCGATAATCGCAACAAATGCCACCGAAAATCCCTTCAAAGTTACAGGGAAGGCTTCGGCTAGCATACAATGACCGAACACATCCAATGGTATAGTCACATAATTAAAGTAAATAATTAAACAAATGTGTAAAATATACGATAAATCGAACAATGAATGAGTTATGGCGGTGATGAAAAGCACTGAACTTAATACGCACGAAATGTAGTAAATGAAACGTTTCAGATTAAATTTGTATAAAACGGCCGCCGTGATGCTGCCAAAAATAAACCATGCTAAAAGTACCAAGGTAAGTTCACGGTTGTGCAAGAAAGTGATGAAATGTCCAAAGATTGTCGGCGCCTTCTCATTTTTATTGTTTTCCTCTTGCTTCTTGTTATGTTTATTGTTTTCGTTTGATTTTTCCTTATCGCTTTTACTCTCTTCGTGTTCCCGTTTCATTTCTTCCGTTCCCGCTCTCGAGTTCACTTCATTTTTGACATTATGGTCATTCTGGACACCTTTTTCTTGACTATTTTCTGAGCTCTTTTTACTTTCGCCATTTTCACTTCCTTCCGAATGATTATTTCTTTCTGTTGTCGGCGTGTTTCCTTCGTCTGTTCTTGCATGACCGCTTGATTCATTTTCATGTGGTTCACTTTTGTTGTCTTTACTATCTTTTTTACTATCTCCTGTGACAGTTTCCTCTTCATTATTTTCGGTTTTTGAATTATCATTTTTCTTATATTCAGCATCGTGTTCCATAGAGTTTGGCTTTTGGATAGTCGGTTCAGTCTCAGGTGTCTCTCGTTTCAATCTCTCGATATTGTTTTGTTCTTCCAGATGAGAGTGTACTTCGATTTCATTGTTATTATCACCGATGCCAAAATCATGACAATGTTCATTCATATGTTTTTGATCTTGTGTTGACTCCAAATGAGCCACCCCACGTAGGAATATGAGAATGAAAACAATTAGCGGCAAATTGAACGATAGTACACTGCACAGACGGCCATAACAACAGAAAATCAAACTCGTCCGATTTTCAGGTAATAAAACCTTTTTAAAATTGGGCGGTCCATACGTATCAATTTCATCTTGCACGAGATTTTTCATGGTTGAAAAATCATGATGGACCGAACGCGTACTAATTGGTTTTTTCTTCAATTTGCTCACCGTTTGCAAAGCATCCAATTCACCTCCGTCGTTTTGTAGGATAAATGGAACCGTTTCGGTGGCATGCTTGGCTGAAATTACAATAGTCGTCAATCCGAACATTATCAATCCAAATCCATTAAGAAAACTTGCATTGAATAAGCCTTCCGTGTGAAAAAATACCAACACTGACAGCAAAATTGAATAGTTCAACGCTGCTCCGACGATTAACATAAGAAGTTCACGAAATTCCTATTGAGATATTATAAAGTTAATTATTAGTTGTTGAAATAAGAAATAAAAGATATTACTTTGGTTGCATTTTCGCTGGCATGAACTACAACAACGACGTAAATCAGTCCATGGATGAATCCTCCGCACATCCGTGAGGTAACTAAGTAAATATTGGTGTCATTTTTGGATAAAATAAAAAGAACTCCGCTGATTGTAAGTAATGCACCTCCCACCAACTTTCCACCAAAAAATGAATGATAAAAATGAAATTCAATATGGTGACAAATTCAAATGGTGCAAATCAATAATACACATACGTAAAGATGTCCTTTTCGAAATTTGTACACCGCATGGCCAGCACAGAAATTTCCCATTATTGCACCAATGTAGAATGACCAAATGACAAAATGAAAATAGAAGGTTTTCTCGACGCCATAATGATGGCAATTATATAAAGAAAAGACTCGATAAATTCCCCAACAGATATGGATGCCACTACTCATCAATAGCAAGAGACCTGCATTTAGTTGGAGCACACACAGAGACAAAGAAAATCAAAACAAATACACAAACGAATAAATAACACTACATTTGATAATTACCACCACAAATGCATTTCAGTTGTTCACTATTTTTGTGGATGAATTTTCGATAGCTCATATTTTTTTCAAACTTTTCGTCAAACATTTCATTTTCATTGTGATCGTCTTCTTCATCGTATGGAACAGTAGTCTCCTGATTGTTGTCACTTGTTTGATAGTTGGGATATTGACTGACATTCATTTCAATATGTTCATTTTGATCATTTTCTTCGAATGACGCTGTTGATGTGCCAGCGACATTCTCGAATGCCATAAATTTCGAGGCCATTCTTAAAATTTATACATTCACATACACGGTTACAACAACAGAAGATAATACTTATTTCTATCTTTGCATGCACTGAAAGTCAGCCTACCGTCTTTGCTATTAATAATTCAACAGTTACAAATGATAAATTGATTGATTGTGACAAACTGTATTGTGAAGAAAGAAAAAATTTGAGCAAAACCACAACTAGACTGATAGAATTACTGTGACCGAATGAAAATTGTCGAACATTGTGAGATGCTAGTACGAACGACACGTCGAAACTAAATGGCCCAAATGGCATTATTCGGTCGATTTTACTGTTTCATGGATTTACGCTTTAACTTACATTCATGTTCGTCAGACTGTCGGGCGCCAGGCTCTGTCTCCCCATTTTTGGATTACAGTTTGGATGTATAAAATTACGTACGTGTCTATTCAAATCTATTGGATAAATTGTTCGGAGCAAGCTGATGGGATACAACAGCATCAAACATGTACCAAAAAACGATGAAGAAAAATTGTATTTGTATGCAGTGTTTTGTATTTATGTATGTATGCGTATGATATTGAATCATTGCTGTGTGTGACAAGAATTGAAACAATTTTCACGTCGCATAGGCATCTATTGTACCCAAGAATCATATTTAAATGTGGGTGTGCATTTTTCTAGATTTCGTACAAATTGCTGAAATATACTGTTGATGCCACTGCTGTTTTTGGTTGTTTTTATTGTTGTCGTCTTCGTCATCTATATCATCGTTCGCGTTATCCACTTGTAAATATGAAGACATGAGAGGAAAATGCTATCAAGGACAAAGTCATGCTACCGATTTTGGTAAACAGTATTTAATTTTATTCAAGTGATTCATTTCGTATAAAATCTGATTGAAACAAAGTACTAAACATACAATCTGTCAAGAACGGTCTATCTTAAATTTTATAAATTGAATGAAAAAAAAACTTCGGTTCGCTTTAAATAAAAGGTTTGATGTCAATGATGATAAACAAATGTATATGGTTAGAAAATTATAGATTTTGACTTCAATTTGTCAGATTAATTAACTTAACTAACGGATAGGTCTTGTAAAACAATTTTAGGCAATAATTTTGATTTTCATTTCATTCGATAGTTATCTTAAAATTATATTTGCGGGATCCAAAAACTATGCTATCTTTCTGCTTAAATATGAATCATTTCATAAAATTGTCAGCGATATTTTAAGTACGGATTTTTTTTTAAATCCAAGGAATTCAGTTGTTCAAATTGTCAAAATTATAGTTTCGATTTTTTGTTTCTTTTGCGTGTGAACTTATTAACTATTTAATTTAGAACTAAGTGATTAAAGTATTTGATATGATGATATGAGCAATTTAGCCAAGGAATTTGAAATGATTAAACGAAAGTGTTCACTATGCACTTTCAAAGAGAAAATTGAATTTAACTTTTCGATAAATGTCGCGTGTTTGTCGTAATGATAAGCCCTTTGTCTTACGAGGAACTGTAAGCAATGTGGACCAACCCATTATAATGAGGCCAATTGAGATGGCAAAAAAGGCAGACGTATCAGAATGTAGTTTAAATAGAGTAATGAACACCATGTGCACAATGTGTTCGATGCCGGTGGCAATGATAATCGACCACGATTTTGTAGCAAAAGAAAATGCTTCACTTGTTTGTACGTGGCCAACACAATCAATGCTCATCGATGCAAAAATAAAGAAAATGATGATAAAAATATTAATTGAAAATGGTGTATGGAAGAAATCCTGAGAAACGGAAAACAACACCATTATACACATAACAAATAGAAGTATTCCGCATAAAATTGAAAAGAAATACAGATACTTTTTGCGCTCAAATTGATCAATAAAGAACATTGTACACATGCCAAAAATAAAGCGTGCGGTTAGCAGTGACAACAGCAGGTACAAATTTATTGAGTCCGGATTGATTTGTTGATTGAAAAGTCCCATAATTAACACGGTGAACGGAATATTTTTTGCACAAACACTAAGTACTCGCACTCCACACACAATTAAAAGCGGTCGCAAATTATCGATGCTAAATGGATTGCGGCTATCAAGCTCATCTTCGTTTAATTGATGTTTCATTTCGATGAAATCGTGTCGAATTTTCGGCGTTTCACCTTTTTCGTTGCGAAGTTTTACCATTGTCGCTATGACAAGTTCATCTCGTTCGCTAACACTACAATTACTCGAGTATTTGAGTAGATATGGTGCAGATTCAATTGTTAAAAATGGAGCAACCGCAAGCGCCAAAATGGAATAAAAGCAATTCAAAAATCCCATGATACACTCTGAATCTATATCATTTTCTTTGGTGCCATTTGTTGTAAAACCAGCCATGAATAGTGAAAATGCCGAAACGTAGCCAATACCACGAAGTATAACACCACGAATCTGATTCACACTGTTCTCACCGGCATGTGTTATTACAGTCAAGTAGGCAAGGCCTGCAATGAAAAATCGCAATTTTATTTTCGTGCTGGAATTGAAAATATTGATAATTGAATAATTGATCCTACCATTGGCTAATCCAGCTAGAAATCGTCCAGATGACAAAACGGAATTTATACGGAGGTCAGTAAAGAGACGAGCTGTAAACAGTAAGCTGCTCAGCAGAAGAATCAATGCGGCAAAAATCTATGTCAAACATAAAAATACATATGAAAATTGTATTCAACAATCCAATTAGTTTAACGAACATAAATAACATACATAAATGCGTTTCTTTGACCAGGTCGGAATTAAAACTGCTGCAATTATGCTGCCACAAATTGTACCAAGATACCATGCTCCAACAGTTGTTATTACTTCCAACTCTAACCAACTAGATTTGATTAAAAATCGTTTTTAGAATTATTTTCATATTTCGATGAATCCGATTATAGTATGTACCTGGAGGATGCAAAAATTTCCCAAAAAGCCCAAACCGTATGCACTCCACTTCCCAGCAACACAATTAAACCTTTTTAAAATTAGAAAATAGAAAACACACACCATCGCCCACACATACACTTCAGTTAGATAAACAAATTAAAATAAACATCGACATAGACGACGTATGATAAAACGTACCGGCTGTTAGTGAGGTTATTTGACGTTTATTTTTCAATACAACAGCAAATATATTGCGATTCGGTACATGCGGCGGTGACAACGGTGTCGGATGTGATCTTTGGACTGATGTTGTTAATCTTGGTGGCAAATCGGGTGTTGGTATCAGTGCATCTTCTTGGTGACCCAGGTCATTTTCATTTGGCTTTTGTTCAAAAGACATTTTTTTTTCATCTATGAGCTCACTGAATTTTAGCAAACAAATGATAGCAATCCGTGAATTAATCACTGAAATTCAATTCGAAAATTCACTTGGCACAACACACTCAGTTGGGATAAAAATAATTTATTCGTTCACCATTCGGCACATCACAACTTTTTTTTATTCGATTCTCTTATATTTCCAATCGTTAAAACACAATTTCACTAGTTTTTCGCATTTATTTGGATTAAATTGTCTGAATTTTTAACATTATTCAATCAATTTTCGAATGAAATTATCATTTTTTCTTATGTACATTTATCGAAAACAATGTAATACGTACATCGTTCTGTTACCTTCGTTATTCAACTAAATTAACACTATTCTACGTTTGCTTTTTCTCTCTGTTCACTGTCATTTACTTCTTTTCTGTCATATTGAAATGTGCTTGCGGATCGGTCACGTTCACTTGCGCTCTGTCTAACCAACCGCAATGCGATGCAAACGCAACGATCAACACGTACCCGACAATCTCACAAACAAAGACTGAATCTGACGCGCAACTTTAAATTGATTGTATTGTGTATATTTCATCGTTTACGCTGTTCGTGCACTGTATGTTTGTGCGCTACACAGTTGCAATGTTAGAGAATAACAAATGAGAAAAAAAGAAGAAAACGACAGCGACGACGACGACGCATTACATCGAATCAATTATGATCAATTGGAAAATCTCAATATGCAGGCGCACAGAATCTGATCTGACTGTTGGACCATATGCGGTTTATTGGAGTATTTAAATTGTTTTAAAATTCTAAGCGAATTACAGTCAGCGTACGTAATTTATTTCGATTTGAATTTCGGGTGATTTAATGCGATTTTAATTCATATTGCATTTTTGAGCGCATTTTCAATTTGGTTGTATAAAACTAGCTGTCATAAAACACTTGAAATGCAATTTGTTCACCATAATGTTGACTAAGTAGCATCAAAATGTGATGCTATAATAAGTATTATCTCATATCAATTGATTTCGTATTCGGTTGATTAAATCAATTCCATATAAAAGTTAAATCGAATGAATGGCATGTTTGTTCGTTGCTTGACATGACCAAGTTCCATAGCTCGGTATTGTGTGCCACAACTTCAATGCCAACCAATTCAAATTAGTATTTGAATTCCAGAATATGCTAAATAAATAGAAATCACACATATAACTCAAATGGACAAAGTTCATGCACTTATATTTCAACCAGGCGCTCCAGCTAACTGAACAGTTGCTGATATTGATTGCATTCATCGGCAGCGTTTTCGATTATGACACACTATGTCGCTGTAGAATATATCATTCGACTCATAGCTAGTAAACAGCAATCAGCAGAAGCAGCCATTAGCCAGCCAGTTCAAGTCCGAGTCTGATTTCAACTAATAAATAAACATATGATTTATTAGTACACAATTTAAATGTTTCAAATAGAAATCATAGTCTTATGAAAACAGCAAGGAAGGCGTCTAAACGTTTGTCTTATTAATTTTGCATTTTATTTTCAGTCGGAGAACATTTGATGGTATCAAATTTTGTATTTTCTTATCAAATTCCATCTATTGGATCCCGTTCAATTGTTATCCCGATTGGACGATAAAACTTCCCGAAACCGAAAGCAAATGAAATATGAAGATATATTTTTTTTCGCAACCGAAGTATGATAATTCAAAACAAATGACGCCACTACATTCATATGAAACAGTCGAGTTCAAATTTCACACTCCTTCATATACATGCCGTTTAAGCTCGTGTGACCGTCCATTACCATTGAATATTCATAAGTTTACGATTTTATTTATTCAAACCAAATACAACAACATTCGCTCGTTTGCTTGTGTATTTTGGCTATTTCAAACCGTTTTTTTTTGTTGTTGTTATATTCAAAATTGTCTGTACTCCTTTTACTCGATTTTTATCGTTTTGTATACAGCTTTTAAATTGATATGCGTGTACATCAACGAACTGACGAAAACGAAATCACTGCACTTACTTTTTGTACAGAACTAATGAATAATTCCAAAACACAAAGCCTAGCACATTTTTACCGCGGAAAAGTGATTTAGTAGGCATTTTGAAAGCAACTGAAACGGTTATGTAAAAGTTAAACAATTCAAAGAATTTCTTTTAAAAAAATCCTTATTATTTAAAATAAGAATTCATTATACATCATTTTGTATAAAAAAAAGTGTGTACGATAAATTGATTTGACCAATTTAGGTAACATATAAGTGAAAGTTATGGCATATATAATTGAAAAAATCACCGAACAATATTCAAGGATATGGGAATCGAGAGGTATTAATAAAAAAAATCTTCAATCAGTTTTAAACATTAAATAAACCATTTTTTATTGCTTTTCAAGACAATCGTCTACATCATTTACCCTTCATATCGAGCCCGATACCGATGATAATTTTGGTTTCAATCTACCTATTTATCATTCGAAATGGGAAGAAATTCATGGAACACCGAAAACCCTTGAAAATCAAGCGTTTAATTATCGTGTATAACATATTACAAATAATCGCGAACTCAACTCTGTTCCTAGTCGTAAGTTCATTGACTTGCATTAATTTGAAATGCAATACCGTTCCGTTTTATCCACTTTCTACTCTTTTCTTGAACATATGTGTAATTGATTTTTGTTTGTATTACAGGTAACCTACTATATCTTCTTTGCTGACACTAATTTTAGTTTTCGATGTGAATTGAGCAATTATTCAACGGATGACGTTGGAATGTTTGGAGCCTACATGTCTTATAGCTATTTCATTCTTAAGTTGGCCGATTATCTCGATACCATTTTCTTTATTTTGCGCAAAAAATCGGATCATGTGTCATTTTTACACGTTTATCACCATGTGGCGGTATCTGTAGCTGCTTACATCTGTGTACTCTTTGCAACAGGTTTGTACACAACAACAACAACAACAACAACACATTTTTAATTATTTATGTAATTTCGTATTATTTTTTCGAATGTAGGTGGACAGGGCATATTATTAGGTTTGTGCAAATTTGTACAACAATGCGTACATTATTAGTAAAATTGTTTTTTTTTTTTTCATTCAAAAGGATATTTAAATACTCTGGTTCATGCAGTGATGTACACCTATTACTTGTTAACAATTTGGAAACCCGAAATCAAATCAAGTAAAACCACAAAGAAAAACATCACACGAATGCAAATGGTATACACTCTTCGATGAGTGACATTTTTAAAAATTGAATATAAATTGATGTATCCGATTTCTTTTTTCCAGATTCAGTTCACAATTTTAGTCGTTCATTTCGGTCACTCGTTTGTGATACCCGGAGATGATTGTGACTACCCGAAATTTTTGTCATTTATGGGCGTTACACAAAACATCTTCATGATTATTCTGTTTTCGGACTTTTATTGGCGCGCGTATGGTAAAAAATCAATACAAAAAACAGAGTAATTGAATTCAGTAGCAAATTCATAAAAACAAACCAAGTTCACAAGGAATATTTTTCTATTATTGTACAATGTAAGTGATCTAGAAAATTAGAAAAATATTTATGACTATCGTTTGGACGTAGAGTTTCTTTTTATAGTTTTTTTTTTGAATAAATTTCTGCATTAAAGTAGATTTTTAAACATTTGTCTTTTCAATTAATTTACTATGCCAATAAGTTCCGAATAAAACTCATTTTTTAGTTCATACCCAATATTTATGAGGGAAGAAAAGGTGAACATTTTTAATTTTATATAGTAACTGCCATTCAGTCAAGAACAATGAGCGACAATTTCATTCCATTTTCATGTCGTTTCAATTTAAAATCGTTCAGTTCTTCAAACCTAGATGGCTCTGATGGTCTATTTGCTATTTGCTATTTACAAATTAACACAAGACTTTCAGTTTCAATTTCTATTTATTTCAACAATTGGAAAAAAATATCAGGATTAATTTGCAAATGTTTTCCCGTATGAAATATAAAGATATTTTTGAGTATTATTTGTAGCATCCAACACATGAACAACGTACTTTTCCTTGGCGTTTATTACTGATGACGCACTGAAAATAAAACAAACATTTTTGAAAATCGTTAAATTATGTCCAAGATGCAATTATTTTTTGGAAAGTGTAATTTTTTTTACCTTTTCATGGATTGCTTCGAGTCCAACCTGATATTGAGTGATGGCATAATTTTATCAAACATACCAAGAGCATTGCTCCAAACGATTGTGGCGTTGAGTTCAGTTGCCACTTCGTAGAAAATTTCAATATTTTCTGTCCATATTGATGCGGCCGTTGATTTTACCAGCTGAATGGCTTCTTTGGTTGTACGGAAAAAATTGACTGGGATTGGAATTTGGTTGAATGGTGTGTCGGTAAATTGAATATATTTCGGCGGAACATCGATCAATAGACAAATGGTTCCATTTTTATTACAAATCAATTTTCCGCCAAATTTCTTGGCCAAATCTTCTCCATTCGGTTGTTTTCTTTCATTTGTACCATTTGTTGCTGCGTTCAAGCGTTCTTCAGTCAATAAATCTAACATCTTATTTCGAAGCGATTCTTGAACATAGACCGATCCAATACGCCACGGTGACCGGGTTCGATCCGAAAGATTCGAAATCAACGCATCAATAGCAGATGTCACATCTGCTGAATCAAAAATGATTTGCGAGCTTTCTGCGAATGTTGATGGGGTTGGAGTCAACGTAGAAAGTTCTTCAGTGAAATTTTTACCAAGCAAATATGAAACTAATTCTTTTCGTTTGGCATCAGTTTGAATTGAAAATCCACCAGTTGAATTTTGTTGTGCCAATAAATGACATTCCAATAAAAATTCTCCAACTGATACATCGCTTTGGGCATTCAAAATTGGTAATATATTCTCTTTCTTTAAAGCCTCCTTAGCTGACTCAATGAAAATTTGTGCCCATTTTAAATGTTTTAATGTAATTTTTTCTGGTTGTGCCTTGTTTAACTCATATTCCAGCCGGGCAATCTCTTTGAAATTTTTCAATGCAAATTGTACACGTTCATTCAAACACTCGGAATCTTTAAATGTTAACCTTAGTACCGGCAATTTTTCACTTGACGTCGATATTGGTTGATTAAAATCAATTTGATCTTTACGTAACATTTCGTTCACCGTTTTCCAATAAAAATCACTTGAACTGCTCATAATTTGAAATTTGTTTTTGTTGAACAACTTGTGGAATATTCACATGCAAACAGTGAACTGATATAAACTGAAGTGACATTTCTATTTTGGTGTTGTGTGTCTATTTTTTGTCTTGATAACGCAGCGCTACGTTCATAATATGGCATGCGTTTCATGTACTTTGTGTCCGCTCAACAATACTAAATCCACTCTTATCTTGTACGGCACGAACGCTATCAGAAGTTACGTTATATGTTTATACTTGTTCACTGTTAAGGGTCATTGAATGATTATTATTCTCGATTTCGATGTTTGAACAGAATAAGAAATCGTTTTTTGAACTTTGTTATTTGAGCTATATGAGCGCATGTAATAATCTTCCAATTTCTTTTATTTCAAGTTCTTTGTATAGAACAAGATTTGAATGAGAAGTAAATTCTTGTTCCACTTAGAGAACGTGTTGGTTTTAAGTTTAACATGCAAAAACAAAATAAATAATCACTCTTAAAGTTGTTTACTTTTTATAACAAACGCACCATGTATTTTGCTCAAACAGTATTTTGCACACTTTGAGTGAATGTTTCACCATATTTCACCACAAGCACATGGTGCATTGATAATAAATACTTTGGGGTCATTGCTATGGCAACAATCTTGATCTTCAATTTTGCATACTTTTTTTACATCAAACTTAAAATTTACTGTTTTCTTATTTTTATTTATGAAATTTTGAAGTTTTGATATAAGCATACCGAATGAAATCCTTTTGAAAAATAGTCAATAATAAATATAAACAAACCATTAAAAGCTTCAATGCTCGAAAGGGGAGAATGTGAATGTTTTCGGCATTTGTCATGTTAAAATTACGGAGAAGATGCGCAGAAGCAATTCTCATTGAATACGCATTCGTTGAAAATACATTCACAAAACAAAACGTCAAATTGTCGAATACAATGAAATTTTTTTGAAAACATTGTATAAACCAAGATATTGCTGTGTGAATGAAGGAGAACATTTACGAATGTATTTGTAAAAGTGGAAAAAGGGGAGTTTTTTTGTGAACATTTTCTCATTCACAGAGCACAGCAGCAAGTAAAAAGCTTTGATTATCTAGTATTCTTCAGTATCTATCTTTGAAAGCATCTATCCCAACTGAAAAGTTATATCTTCGAAATAAATTATTCTTTTTCAGTAACGAAAATAAAATAAATATTTGAAAAAAGAATTTTATTTTAACTTAATTATTTTTAGTTTGAAGAAAAAGGGTAAGTAATAAGCGTAGAGAGAAGCAGTGTAAATGAATCGCTGTGCAAATATTAAGATGCTGTGACAGATGTAAAAAAGATGTCTGCCGTTCAATCGAATTGATGCGATTTTTTATTCGAACATTGACAAAAGTGAACAAAAGGATACAAATAATTCGAACAAATTTAAAGTTATTATGATTTTTTACTTCAATATTTTCTATGAAAATATCGTTTGAAAATTGAGATTCAGATTTTCAGTATCACATTAATGATACACAAGCGTAATAAGATTTATTGATTTTTTCACAAACCAGCGCCTACAACTATTGGAATTCGATTGTGATAGGAAAGAATTTAATATTCATAATTTGGAGTCAATTATTTTGTAAATGCAATGGAAATCAACACTTTTGGGACACATTTCGTCATCTAAATCAAGTGAGTCAATTGAATTGACTAGAATCTTGAAAAAATGCTGGGACGTAAGCAAAGCTTAAAGGGAGGTGAACTCATTCTGGCCGATTATGGACCCGAAGAGAGCCTCAATGAGAATGCAGATATCGAATGGGTGAACAAAGTGAGCATACAAACGGATTTGTTTTAATTTTGTGCAAAACTAATTAAAATGTTCATCATTTTAGCCATGGGTGAGAAAGATTATGCGAACTTGTGCTTTATTATCACTTGCATCAATTTCACTCAACACACCGAAGACATTTGAAAAGATACCAGTCCTTCAATATGTCACATTCATTGTTGACACATCCATTACACTCTTATTTACTGCCGAAATGATTGCAAAAATGCATATACGTGGCATTTGGAAGGTATTTTTTGTTTTGTTTACTTTTTATTCAGTTTAACAGATAAAAATTATTATTTTTTAGAAAACACTACACAGTGAAGTTCCATATTTCCGTGATCATTGGTGTCAATTTGATGCAAGCATGGTGATATTCCTATGGACATCAGTGACATTGCAGATATTTCAATTAATGGAGATTGCATCGAAATTTTCATATCTGACAATACTTCGTGCACCGCGGCCATTGATTATGATTCGATTTTTGCGAATATTTCTCAAATTTAACATGCCAAAAGCTCGGATAAATCAAGTGTTCAAGTAAGTTTGTCAAATACGTTCACGTTTCGCCAAAATATAATAATGATCAAACAACTAAAACTGTCCTTCACTGCTTCACTTTTTCCAGGCGTTCGAGTCAACAAATATACAACGTAACGTTGTTTTTCTTATTTTTTATGTCATTGTATGGATTATTGGGTGTTCAATTTTTCGGTGAATTGAAAAATCATTGCGTTATGAACACAACGACATTGGAGTAAGTAGTTGAATCTGTAAATAAATACATGGAACGAGTGCAATATTTATGTATCTTTTCTATGCTAACAGGCAATTAACGATGAATTCACTTTCCATTCCGGATACATTTTGTTCGACGGATGCCGATAGTGGGTATCAATGTCCACCTGGCATGAAATGCATGAAACTAGACTTCCTGAGCAGTTACGTCATGGGTTTCAATGGCTTTGAGGACATTTATACGAGCATTTTCACGGTATATCAAGCGTCCAGCCAAGAAGGATGGGTTTTTATAATGTACCGCGCAATTGATTCATTACCTGCTTGGCGTGCTGTCTTCTTCTTTAGCACGATGATCTTTTTCCTTGCTTGGCTTGTGAAAAATGTTTTCATTGCTGTTATCACTGAAACGTTTAATGAGATTCGTGTCCAATTACAACATGTGTTTATGAAACGAGGTCAACTTCAGAACAGCTCAACAATTTTGTTATGCGGTGATGATTCCGGATGGAAGCTAATCACAGTCGATGACAATAAGCACGGTGGTCTAGCGCCCGAGGCATGCCATGCAATTCTACGATCTCCATATTTTCGAATGATTGTCATGACCATCATATTGGCGAATGGTATTGTGACAGCAACGATGACATTTAAACATGACGGTCGTCCGAGGGATGTGTTCTACGAGCACTATTATTATATTGAGCTCATGTTTACATTTATTCTGGACTTGGAGACATTATTTAAGATTTATTGTTTGGGTTGGCGTGGCTATTACAAACATTCAATACATAAATTCGAGTTACTTTTGGCCATTGGTACAACACTGCATATTATTCCCGGCCTTTATTTGTCGCCATTAACATATTTTCAAGTGCTGCGAGTCGTACGTTTGATCAAAGCATCACCAATGCTTGAAGGATTTGTTTACAAAATTTTCGGACCTGGCAAAAAACTTGGATCTCTCATTATATTCACCATGTGCTTGTTAATTATTAGTTCATCAATATCAATGCAACTCTTTTGCTTTTTGTGCGATTTCACAAAGTTTCAAAGTTTTCCCGAGGCATTTATGTCTATGTTTCAAATCCTAACACAAGAAGCCTGGGTCGAAGTTATGGATGAAGTGATGATCAGGTAATGATTGAAATAAAAAGAAAAATAATTTTGTCCAATAATCAAAATAATCACTCGAATTTGTTTTATAGAACGTCAAAAACGCTTACACCATTCGTTGCGGTCTATTTTATTTTGTACCATTTGTTCGTGACCTTGATAGTGTTGTCACTGTTCGTTGCTGTCATTTTGGACAATTTAGAATTGGATGAGGATATAAAGAAGTTGAAACAACTTAAATTTAGAGAGCAGTCGGCCGAAATCAAAGAAACATTACCGTTTCGATTGAGAATTTTCGAAAAATTTCCCGACTCCCCACAAATGACCATCTTACACAAAATTCCAAACGATTTCTCGTTGCCAAAGGTTCGCGAATCGTTTATGAAGAACTTTGTGGTAATGGGCTCAAATGTTGATGATCCATCAATGGATATGGGCATGGACATGCATATTTCTGAATGTTGGGAAACAAATGTTGTTTTTCGAAAACAGAAACCGGTTCGCACAATGAATAAAATGCCAAAAGTGCGCACTGTCGGCACTTCACTGAGAAAATTGGCCATCACGCATATAATCAACGATTCGAATAATCAACGGTTAATGTTGGGAGATTCGGCAATGTTGCCGATTGTTGGAGGTGTTAAGACTGGAGCCGGAAAAGGGAATGCAAATAATGCCGGAGGTGGTGGTGGTCTCAAACATCAAGGTAAAACATAATATGGAAAGTCAATCGAATGATAAAATATAACTTTTTTTTAAAAAACACAGGAACTTTGACTCATGCAAAACAATGGAGAGTGGATCAGAAAAAATTTGGAACTCGATCGATCCGACGAAGTGTTCGTAGTGGTTCAATTAAATTAAAACAGACATACGAACATCTAATGGAAAATGGTGATATCGGTGCGGCTACCCGTGTTACAACGTCATCTCGAGCCAGACCACAAGATTTGGATATCAAATTACTTCAAGCAAAACGTCAACAGGCTGAAATGAGACGGAACCAACGTGAAGAGGATTTACGTGAAAATCACCCATTTTTCGATACTCCATTGCTTATCGTGCCGCGTGAAAGTAAATTTCGAAAAATTTGCCAAAAAATCGTTCATGGACGTTATGATGCACGACTAAAAGATCCACTCACTGGAAAAGAAAGAAAGGTTGAATACAAAAGCCTACAGTAAGTTTTATTTTGAATTGTCGCAACAAATGACACTTATTATAATTTGTGTTTTTGTTTTCTAATTTTATTAGTAACTTTTTGGGCCTTGTCACATATTTAGACTGGGTTATGATATTGGTAACAACGATTTCATGCATTTCAATGATGTTTGAAACATCACATTTTCGGGTAATGGAACAACCGATTCTTCAAGTGGCCGAATATGCATTCGTGATTTTTATGAGCCTCGAATTATCGCTAAAAATTCTAGCCGATGGGCTATTTTTCACGCCCAAAGCCTACATTAAAGACGTCGCTTCAGCACTTGATGTTTTCATTTATATCGTTTCTACAACATTTTTATGCTGGATGCCCTTAAAAGTGCCGAGTAATTCGGCTGCCCAACTATTAATGATTTTAAGATGCTTGCGACCTTTACGAATATTCACTTTGGTTCCACATATGCGAAAGGTCGTATACGAACTATGTCGGGGATTCAAAGAAATTTTATTGGTATCGACATTGCTTATTTTACTCATGTTCATATTTGCCAGTTACGGTGTTCAACTGTACGGTGGACGGTAAGTAAAGATGAGAATCACTCAAATTGTATTCAGCATGACAATTTTTTTTGATCATTTTGTAGGCTTGCTCGTTGCAACGATCCCACGATATTGAATCGATCGGATTGTGTTGGTGTTTTCATGCGACGTGTATTCGTGTCGAAAATGAAACTAAAACTTGGAACGAATGAATCATATCCAGCGATGCTTGTACCAAGAGTATGGTAAGACTCTCACTAAAAACCAGCACATGAATTATTATGTACACAAACTAATTGGCAAAACGTTGATAATATTTAGGGCGAATCCGAAGAGATTTAATTTTGATAATATTGGAGATGCCATGCTAGCACTTTTCGAGGTGTTAAGCTTCAAAGGATGGTTGGATATTCGTGATGTTTTAATCGCCGGCGTGGGTCCGGTAAGTGAGATTGTATATTTATATCGAAATCATTTTTAATTAATACCGCTGTACATTTTAAGGTGCACGCAATTTATATTCACGTGTATATTTTCCTCGGCTGTATGATTGGATTAACGTTGTTTGTTGGTGTTGTTATCGCAAATTATTCGGAGAACAAAGGTACTGCTTTGCTCACCGTCGATCAGCGACGTTGGTGTGATTTAAAAAAGCGTTTAAAAATCGCTCAACCTCTTCATCTACCGCCTCGTCCCGATGGCCGCAAATTTCGGGCATTTGTCTATGACATAACTCAAAACATTATTTTCAAACGATGTATTGCCGTCTTTGTTGTCATAAATAGCTTGCTGCTATCAATAACGGTTAGAATTGTTATTCAATAGCTTTAATGTTCAAAACGTTAATGAAATATATTTTACTTTGCATTTGCAGTGGATAAAAGATGAAATATACACCGAACGTCTTGTTACCATCTCAATGTTGCTCACTATCGTTTTTGTGATCGAGGTAAAGATTCTTTACTAAAGAAAAATATTTTGAATCTAAACTAGGTTAATTACTAATTTCATTTAATTGCTTTCTTTACATCGATTTCTCCTTTCAATAAAAGGTGGTCATGAAAAATATTGGTAAGAATTTTCGCAAGAAATTAATCAATATTACGATTTAAAAAAACCTAACAAAACTTTGTGCATTTTAGCATTCACACCACGAGGATATTGGCAATCACGACGAAATCGCTACGATTTGCTTGTTACTGTTGCTGGCGTTGTTTGGATTTTTTTACAAACAGTATTTCGCATTGACTTATCATACTTTTTTGGTGTTATGGTGGTCATTTTACGATTTTTCACAATCACCGGAAAGCATACGACACTGAAAATGTTAATGTTAACGGTGGGTGTGTCGGTGTGCAAATCGTTTTTCATTATCTTCGGAATGTTCTTGCTCGTATTTTTTTATGCACTAGCTGGCACGATACTGTTCGGAACAGTAAAATATGGCGAAGGCATTGGTCGTCGTGCAAATTTTGAAACGCCAATTACAAGTGTTGCGATGCTCTTTCGCATTGTAACGGGTGAGGACTGGAACAAAATAATGCACGATTGCATGGTTCAGCCACCGTACTGCTCCGTCGCCGATAATTATTGGGAAACGGACTGTGGAAATTTCACCGCAAGTCTTATCTATTTCTGTACATTCTACGTCATCATCACATATATCGTACTAAATCTGCTAGTGGGTACGTTGCAATACAAAATATAGAAAAACATTTCCAGAACATATACCATACACAGTGAAAATACTCAAAAATAATGTTTAATTTTCTATTTCACAGCTATTATCATGGAGAACTTTTCCCTGTTTTATTCCAATGAAGAAGATGCTTTACTTTCATATGCCGACATAAGAAATTTTCAAAACACTTGGAACATCGTTGATATACATCAACGTGGTGTAATCCCCGTCAGACGGGTTAAATTTATTTTGAGATTGTTAAAAGGTAGATTGGAATGTGATCCACAAAAGGATCGACTTTTGTTCAAATACATGTGCTATGAATTGGACAAGCTACATAACGGAGAGGACGTTACATTCCACGATGTCATTAAGTAATTATATCAAAACACTGCCAACACTTATAATTATCAGTTTCATTGAAACAATATTATGTTTGATCGTAGCATGTTATCCTATCGTTCGGTGGACATAAGAAAAGCGTTACAACTTGAGGAACTATTAGCACGAGAAGAATTCGAATATATTATTGAAGAAGAGGTTGCAAAGCAAACGATCCGAACATGGCTTGAGGGATGCTTGAAAAAGATTCGAACACAAAATGCAAATGTAATTTTCTATTTTTTTGCTCTCTCAAAAACAGAGTTATAATTTCTACATAGTAAAATTTTTCGTATAAATTACAGAAGCAACAAAATTCATTGATAGCTGGCCTACGTGCTACGAATGAGGCTTTATTAAAACAAGAAATCATAAATGCAGGAATGCCAGCAAGTACACAAACAGACGTTACATCTGGAACGTCAAACGGTTCTGCTGAGAAAAAAGAGACATCACCAGAATGTCCGGATCCATTGCAAGCAGAGCATGCTCCAAAAGAAACAACTCCATCCACGAGTAAATGATTCCTTTTCAAAATGCAATTTAAAGCGAAATTAATGTGGCCAATTTTTGTTATAGCAACATCATCGCAAACATCAGCAGCTGCAACAGCAACTGAACAAATGCGTTTACGTAAAAAATCACAAAATTTAAACCGCTCCGATTCGACGGGAAGTTCGAGTGGTCGAAAGTTCTTTTTAGCTCCAACCTTATCTGATCCACAAGCTCTGCGCGGCGATAAATATGGTCAAAAGAAGAAACCAAATAATTTAATAGGCACATGTAGTGGCACAAATGTTGGTGGGAGCTCGGGTCTTTCAACGCCAACTGGAACTAGACCGCGAAGTCAAATCTTACAGGCCGATCATTCTGTACGAGCCAAAAATCAAGTCTTACGCCCCGAAACTACAACTGAATCTGAAGAATATGAAGATGTTGCGGGCACATCAATACCATTAACGACAACGACTGCAATCAGTAAACATTCATTACCACCGTTACCAACTGACACAACAAGTTCACTGTTTCATGCTACAACATCTCAATCGATGCACGGATTTGATTTACAAACGAGTTCCCCATTTGATCCAGCCGGCGGTCGGTCAAGCAATCTGAATAACAACAGCAGCAGCACTGGATCGAATGTATTACCATCAACATCAAAAGTGGCCACCAATTCAATGGGTACAAATGTAAATGTTGCATACGAAGTGCACGATTGGTGGACGGATCAAGTAAATATGCAAAGCAGTGATGAGGACGATGATGAATAATAAAACGAATTCAGTAATATTTGAATAATAAGAACAAATGACGAATATAATAGGTTTGCAAAATATTTAAATTATTAGTGCGAAACAAGAATAACCGATAGTAAAGACATGTGTAGAATATATTTCTAATTAATATCCTAAGTTTTAAATAGAAAATGTGCACGAAGTTGAATATATTATAGTACATGGAAAGCTGTTAAACAGTATATATTTTAGTTGAAACCTCAAGATTATGTGTTGATTTTTATTATTATAAATAAAGAAAATTTTGTCAATGCTTTGTCATTACATAATTTAAATATATGTGATCAAGTTGTTTTTGTCTCATAAAGGCATCAAAACTAACGTTTTTATTCATGGGCGTTACGATTGCTGGCCTTATATTCGACGGGCATCCAAGAAACAAAGCAATTTTTAATAGGGTGTGACAGAAATATGAAAAAATGATAAACAACCTTATCTATGGGACCCCCTGAACACGAATCAGGCGTTTTTTTACAAAATAAAATGTCTTACATCCGTAAGATGAACTTTTCCGCACTGTGATCCGCATTTATTACATATATTTTTCTGTAAATTTAAATTCACGAGAAAACTGAATTTGACATTAGTTTTACGATACAAATAATTTTCAACACGCTTTTCATACAAAAATGTCTAAAAATGGGAATTTTTGTATCAATTTGGTTTTCTCGTGCCAAAAAACCCCCAATACATATTTTTGAGTGTTTAAGAATACATTAAACACGACTTTTGGAAGAAAAATTGAATTTTTCTCATGGGCATCACACCAGACATGACACTTCACTCTATCAACCAAAGTCGCTCAAAATCTAATGGTTTCTATTCCTCTTAGGTGTGTGCGGAAAAGTTAAAATTAAAACTGAGTTGTCACGATTCCACCGCGTGATTACAAAAAATGGCACATTTTTACACTATACTTTTCAGAACAGAACCCACACATTACATCTGAATAGAAAAATTTATCGAAACTCAAAAATAGGTACCTCCACCAAGGAGCGAAAAATCTTTCTTGAATTTATTTTTTATTAGTTAACCAACATTTATGAAAATCACGGCTTCCATTAGTCTGGATGACAAATATTTATCTGAAAATAGTGCAGGGAAAGTTCAGGTTCCTAAAACAGCAGTAGCTCATGTCAGAAATTCACACACAGTGAGCGCATTGTGTAGAACTCGACTTTTATTACCCGTATTAGAAGAATTCACGCTTCGTGTACAGTGTACACTTGGCACATCTTCGCTGCTTAGGCGAATATCAGCAGTAGAATTTACTGCGACATGGTCAAAAAACATCAAGTAGCCATATGTACATTTTTCATTCTCTTTTGTGCGAATTTTCTTTGACTGTGTATGGCTGTAAGCAAACATATGCATTAGATGACACAAAGCGTGAATTGTTCTAATACGCGTGACTGAAAACGTATTGGCTTTAAACGAGAAGTATAATTTTAGATGATTGCTTACGTACACTAGCGCCACAATCGATTCGACATTCAAAAAGTACAACTAAGCAGTTAGATGTGAAAACACATTCACGCAAAACGTTAAATCGTGGCATACTCTGTAAGATAAGAGCAATAGCTAGTGTTGAAACGCCGTTTTAAAACGTCACCGTCATCGTTTAGGTGCATGTCGCTGACTCTTTCACATTTTATCCAAAGTTTTAATAGTCATAAATTTCTGTCACATTACATTCTAAGCATTCAGACTCTTGAGATTCAATTTTATATATAATATTTTTTATATAAATATGCATATCATTTTTCAAATCAAATTAAAACTCTTTCATTTGTCATGAATAGTACAAAGCAAATTATGCACGGTAATTTCAATCGTATCAGATATTGAATATGTTGAGTTCTTCAAGTCGTCGTAAACTTCCTAGGATTTATTGAATCGAATTGCTGTTACATAGTGACCGATTCCAATATCATTCGGTGGTTCGAAAAGTATCACTGCAGATAATTGATAACGTTTTCCATCCAGTTGTATTGAGAGTGGTATTTCATATAATTTACGCAGTGTTGTTCGTTCATCATAACCAGTAGGTGCAATTATGTCCAAATTTTGTGGAGAAAATAGCTAGAAATATAATATAAAATAACAAATTATATCAAAGAAGGCTTCAAAAGTAAAAAATAGGCAATGAATTTAAATCACCTCAATAAAATATTGATTTCCGAACTCTTGCGTAAATCTGGAGTTTATGTTGCAATGACGGCAATTTGAATATAATTCAAATAAACGTTCGGTTTCAGTGTACGTTGGAATCATCAATGATAATTTGACCATACTGCCAAAGGTCATTGACACGTTTTTTCTGTCTTTGGACTCTTTATAAAAAATTTCATATTGTGATTATTGCAAACAAAAAATTAAAATAGTTGACAGTTCTTTTTTTCAAAAAATCTTAACGCAAATCTGCTTTTTCAAAATGTCCACCCCCTGGAAAACCCGATTATATGCGCCACCCTGTATACATATTAAATTATTATTTTATTATCTCAGCCTCTCGAAGCTCGGCAATTATTGAATTTATTTCCTGTGAATGTTTGGAATTTCCAGCAGCTCGAGAAGCAATTAACAGTCGCAATCTATACCACAACTCATTCGGGTCATCATAAAATGCATGCACAATATTTTCATTGTCAATGAAGTCGTTTTCAATACATCCGCCAGACTTTTTTCCTCCGGTCCGATTACCCTTAGATTTTATTGCATTCCCTTGTGGAAATATTTCGACTTTATAGTCGACTATAAATTGACTAATTTGGGACAAAAATGGCTGTTAACTATAAGTGACTATATGCGTCTTCATGTAACTTGAGTTGAGAAATGTCGATTGTGATCATAGTTAACTACGGTTAACTATAAGTATATGAAATTGACTTTTTTCAGTCGACATTATAATCACTTTTAGTTAACTCTGAAACATAACCGACTTTATTCGATTTCAATCATCTATTGGTAATTTTAACCGAATAAAAGTGATTAAAATCGACTTAATTTATAGTCAGTCAGTCATTTTTTTTCTCACAAGGGTTTCGCACAATAGTGCGCAATTGTAACACACTCTTTAGTATGCCGCCTTTTATTGCCACATCTTTAGTCGCTCTTTTTCTTGTTATGAGCTTACGTTTAAGTGGGTATGACATGCGTGTGAATTTTGCTATTTTTATACGTTTTGGTTGTATGTTTCTTCCTCTCTCTCCCCCCCTCACACTCATTCTCACTATCCGTAACATAATGAAATATTGGTGGTTGTGCACTCTCTTTCTCTCGCTTTCATTGCGCTACTTCTTCATAAATGTCGCTCACTTTTCGCATTTCGAGAATTTTTATGTTATTTTTTTGGTTAATAGTGTTTATTCACTTTTCGTAATTCAACCTAGATATTCGCGCTTTTTTGCAGGTGCAGTTAATTCCACAAGGCTATCATCATTATCACAAAATGAAATTCTCACCTCCAAAATACCCTTAATATTCTGCCTCTCTCTAATTTTCTTTTTACTAATCGAATTTTTAACGCGGTCGGATTTTGATGATCTGAATTTCTTCCCGCTTACCATTGTTTTGATGTAGACGTCCCTATCACTCTTAGCGCTATCATGATCACTATCATCATTATGATCTAGGTGGATTTTGAGTCATTCCAATGAAAATAGAGGATGCCCGAGTGGAAAAAAAGTGACTAAGTTACTATTGACTGTAAGTGACTATAGTTAGCTATATTCATTAATTTTAAAATTTTGTATGGAAAACAATCGACTATAGTTACTCAGTCAGTCAGGCGATTATTTTGGGACGTTTTGACTATCGGGTGACTATGATTATTGTCAACTATAGTTGGCTGTTGCAGTTAACCATAGCTTACTTTAATTGATTGAAGTTAACTAAATTTAACTAAGGTTGCTTGTTTTTACAGTCAATAGTCAGTCAGTTTGTCCCAAAATAGTCAGTCACTTTTTTTGTACACGGGTGCCTCTCGAACAAACTTTTCATTTTTGATTTAATATTGACAATTTTCGTTCAACCGGTAAATACCGGTTTTTAAATAAGAAAAACTTAGACGTACAATTTTAACCAACAATTTATATGACAATTTTTTCGCGATCAGATTATTGAAACAATTCGTTTTTTTTAAATTTATAATTTTTACAGATATATTGCATTCAACATATTGATTGTTGTTTTCATATAAATTACAGTTTCCTATATAATTGGTTAATTATGGCGAGACGTAATAGACTATCAAGAGATAATGACAGAAGAGCATCGATGAAAAATAGGACTTTACAAAATATGAGATCAGTCAATAATCAAAACAATATTAATCCAAACAATCATGGTATTCAAAATAATAACGTTGCTAATGATTTTGTTGATTTGAGAGATTCCTTTAAATGTGCATTCAATTTTGTTCCACGTAATTTCCGAAGTTTTGATTGCGGTTCTTTCGATTTAATATGTAGATTTCGTAATTCAAAAAAATTAAGTTACGAAATTACAATAGGAGTTAGAGATATATTCACTATGTGTTGTCATAAAGGAAAAGTTGAGATTCCATTGCCAAGTATTGTAGAAATCAATTTTTTGATAATCTTTATAAAGGGCTTACTTCAAATAATAGAATTGAAAAAGAACGTTCCAAGAATGTTTTCACTAATATTCGTGCGTATAATTCTGCATTTGCAATGGTTAATTCAGAAGCGAAATTATGTGATACATTTTTAAATGGTGTATTTCATTATAAAATACATGATGTATTTTATCATCGTTATGGCCCTTATGTTGATCAAAATAATCAGGAACCGTGCTATGCTCAGTTATACTTTTATGATGTTGATACAGCTAATCAATATCGATTAGGTAACACGAATAATTCTGGGTGTAGATCAAAATTTAACACGTGCGATAGCTGAAGAGTTAGATAGAGTTAATGTTTTCGTCCAATCATTTAAAAGTTTGAAAGAAATTTGTTCGCGAGTAGGGAATGAAGATAAAGAAATTACATTACTTATAAAAGTCAATCATAATGGTTTAGATATGCGTCGATTCAATGACGCAACTCTCACTGATGTTGCTGTTATATTGACGAGCGATGACGGTGAGCCTCCTTTTGAGTGAAATATGGTCGCATTTTCGAAAACTACTAATTCTCTCAAGCATGTTTCAGTTGTAGATTCATCACTTGATCCATTAGCATATCCATTGTTATTTCCAAATGGAGATACAGGTTGGCATAATAATATTGAACATTCCCCTTTACGTAGAACTTTTAAATGCGATAAAAATTTTTGAACATCATACTATGCTTGCCAAGGCATGAGCACTTTGTTGTACTTTCTGTTAATTCATGGCTCATGAGCTAAAATTTATTAGGAAAGAAGTTATCAAATTGCCATGTATTTGAAATTTGTTGAATTGAAATACGTGGAATAAAACCATCCTATCATATGTACAGTACATCAAAATACCTATCAAATTACCCCAATTTTATCACCGTCTCCACCAAAAGTGAGTATGAATAAAACACAAGCCACTTTGCTAAACGTCAATTGAGTATTTCTTTTTATTCTTTTAATAATAGTTGGTTAAAAAAATCATCATAAAAACTTTTGATTTTTTCATTTTTTCGTTTGCATTTTTTTTCGATTTTTATATTTTACATAAAGTTTCGTATTCTTCATAACATAACAAATATGTCAATAGATCGATTAAACATTTATTCAGTTGAATTATAATATTTGTTTGCCTGCTTATGGGCAAAAAGAAATCGTGTTAAAAAAGTCAAATTCTCAATATTCCAATTATTTCAATTTATTTATTAATAAAATGAGGACATGCCTATCGATCGATTTTAATTTCGATAAATTGTAAATGAGTTATATGCTTTATGCACCATTTTTTGTATTGAAGTTTAATTTAAACATAACTAACATTCTGTTCAACACGTTCATTCACTAAATTTATATCGAATATTTCTTATTCTTCTAAAAAGTCTCTGATCAGATTCGTGATAACGCCAAACCTAAATTTCGTCCTAATAAATTTCAATTTATTTTCTCAATTGAATTGGCTAGAGTGGTACATAATTGTTTATATTATACACTGCTCAATTTTGTCTTCTTTGTCTTGAATGAAAACGGAACTAGACTATGTTATAGCCGATAATTGACCATCATTTTGTGCGGCGTTTTATCTGAAATTATAAATTATTTGGATAAATAGTGAAAACGATATATTGATGATAGACGATAGAATTAAACTAAATGCACTTACTAATAAAACTCGTGGGTTCATGATCATCAAGATGCATCGATTGATCTAATCTACTACGAATATGATCGCCACTGCCCGATTCTGTATCGGAACCCAAGCTATCGTATTCCTCTGATTCAGATTTTTGAGTTTTGTGCTTTCGATGTGATCTCTTTACGATGCCCATATTTTGTGCTGAATTTGTGGTGGAATGCGTCTGCAATGGAATAAAACCGGATTTCTGTTTGTTGGGCTTAAGCGAAATCATTTTATCGAACAGAATTTTATTATTCAACAAAAGACAGAAAATGATTGATTCTTACGTCTTTATTTGACGATGACATTGAATGCCTTGGATTGTATAGACTGGCCGAAATGGGAATGGTTCCAGCATTATTTGTTGTTCCATAGCGTGACATCATGGGATTTCCAGCCAAATTATCTTCATTCGGCAAGAACGTTGCATACGGATAGATATCCTCGGAATATTCGGGGATGCGTTCGAGTGTGTTGGTGCCGGGACTCTGTTGTTCGGGCATGGGTTTTCTCACCGTTGCATAGTATTTGTCACGATGCTCAGCAGACATTGGACCAAGTTTGTAATCGCTCGACATTGAAGTATGCTGATGAGACGAGTCGCTCAAACCTCTGGTGTCACTTCCACTGCCATGATCAAAATTAGTACCTAGACATGTATACGTGAAATGGATTTTTTATTATTTCATTTTCATTCATAAACGATCGCAAAAGTATTCTTAAGTACTCACGAGATCGAAAACAGATACAAGCACACATTAGTGCTGATGCGATGCCCAATACCGATCCAATAAGCAAAATAATAATGTTTGAATCAAGATTGAATGCACGTTGAATTGAATCCATATTGCTTCCCTCAATATTGTTATTCGTTGTCCCATCTCCAGCCAATATCAAATCATTGTGTTCACCATCTCCGTTGACAGATAGTGTTTTGAATATGTATGCGGCTATAGTTGATCCAGCATTATTGTGCGCAGTTATACGGAGATTATAAACTGTGTCTGACTCCAAATCCGGAATTGAATAGCGTGATTTTGCTGGCACATTGCTACTCACTACAATCCAATCGTTGCCATTAGTTGAATCTGCCTTTCGAAATTCTACCGTAAACGATTGAATCGAACATCCACCATCTTGCCAAGCAGATAAATCAAGTGACACTGATGTTATATTACTAGAAATACAATGAAATATGGATATTTTGTTATTTTATTGTGGCATCATATCAAAATCACTTACCTTCGAATGAAATGGTACACTTCGGGTGAAATTGGTTTCTTTCCTTTTGTTCTTGCCACCTCAATTTTACTCGCTGCGCCTGTGCCAATTTTATTGAATGCAGCCAACGTAAATTGATACACTGTTCCACACTGCAAGTTGTCTAAGGTATGTGAAGTACTTCGACGATTCAATGATATTTCTTCCCAATCACCGAATTCGCGGCGATAAGACAATAGGAAACCTTTCAGCGGCGTACGTCCCGTATCAATTGCTAAATTAAAGCAATATTTTTTTTAAATAATTTTGTTTTTGACACATTAGATAAAAATATCACTTACCTTCGGTTGACCATTCAAGTAAAACTGATGTACCAGAAGTGGCTGTTATATGTAATTGTGGTGGTCCTGGCGGGACATGGACAAATAGTTGATAGATGATGTAATCAGTGCCAAGCGCATTTCGTACTTGGCATGTATAATTTCCTTCATGATGACGCTGGACATTACGCAATACCAATGTGTTGTCTACTCCAGTTTCGATCCGTTGAAACTGCTGATTTATAGGTTGTCTTTTTGAGTCGAATGCCTTCCACTCGGCTTTAGCTGCCGGTTTTCCTAACATAAGTGAAATTAAGAAAAGACCATTATTCATTTGTCCAAAAATCGGAATTTTATAATACCAATTGACTCCTTACCAACAAATGTACACGCTAGCTTTATTTCAACTTTCCATGCAACACTAAGTATTTGTCCAAATGATATAATTGCGGCTGGTACGGTATTGCTTGGTACAAGCTTTATAACTGGGGTACTCTGGCCTTGGCCTATTCGCGTTGAAGCTGTTATCCACGCTTCATATGTTTCACGTGCATTCAAATCTTTAACTTCAAAGTGATGCTTTTGTGCCGGTACGTTGTCTTTGATGATTTTCACCTCTTGGCCTTTATCCAAAATTCGAATGTATACCGTGTATTTTGTAACGATTCCATTTGGTCGGCGAGGCGGTAACCAACTTATTATCACCGAAGACTCTCCATTTACGACTGATTTGATGCGTTCAGGTGGATCTGGAGAGTTTTCTTCGGTTGTACAATACCTGAAATGAAAATGTCAATTGTCACATACAGAAAGCAACTCGGAGAGAAAATTATGTTACATACGTTGTTGCACTGGGACCTTCACCCGCCCGCGTGAAACCCAACACTTGAACGCTATAGTTGGTAAATGGTTGTAATCCATGTAAAACAGTATTCAACGACGTTGTGATCTTTGTTTCGCGTGAAATTGAATCGTCCAGCAGAATATCCGTTGAACCGAAGTACCGCATATCCGAAGAAATCGGTTCATAAAAACTGTTTCAAAAATTATAAGTTTCAAGTTCTCTTTATTTTAATGATTTTTGTTTCATATTTACTAACATTTTGTAACCCTGAATAACACCATATTCATGCTCTTTTAACGGCGGTTGCCATGATACCTGCGAAAATACAAAAATAAAACAATTTACATTATACGAATAAATTATATTTATATGACGCAAAAAATCAACCTGAATATTTTGTGATGTTAACGCTATGCAAGTACATGTGGTTGGCGCTGATGGAACATCTATACACAAAAGGTAAAAATTTACGATCAAATTTGATTGAATTGCTGATATTACAGTTACCTTCCAAAGTTCGAGCTTGTACTGGTTCACATGCAGGTCCATCTCCTTTTGAGTTGAATGCCTGCACCGTGACCGAATAAAGAGAATATTTATCCAAATTCACTAAGCGAAAATCATTAACACCATCTCCGCTTGACAGTCCAACACGAGTAAAGTTATAGATTTGATGTTGATGTTTGGAGTCTTTTGCAAAATTTGCCCCAATATTTGTAACCTTTTGAAAGCCAATTTTGTACCCGAGTAATTCACCATTCCAGAGATCCCGTTCTGGTGGACGCCACGTAACCAACAATTCTTGTGGACTAATCGCTTCCACGTGCACCATTATGGGTGGTCCGCTTGGAACCTCAGCGTCAGTTTGAATATGTAAAATATCACTTGGGGCACTTGTACCCAGCTGATTTGAGGCATACAATCGAAAATGATAGTTGGTCGATGGTTTCAGTGCTGTTATCTTTGCCGTTGTTTTATCACCCGGCAACGTTTTTTGATTATTATGATCATGCCAAACATCTTGGGCTTCTTTGAATTGTAAAATATAATTTGTAATTGGTTGTGCGTAATGATGAACTCCACGCATCGACGTTGGAGCTGGAAGATCTAATGACCATGTTAATTGGACAAAACGACTTCCGAGTTCTGTCACGTGTAAGTTCTATATAAAAAAATAAGAAGCATATTTATAAAATGCTAGGGGGTAGACACGAATTATAAAACTTTGAATCATGTGAATCACAGTGAATCAAATGAATCATTCAAATGTCAAATAAGCATCACTTTTGGTTTTACTAACATGATCGTTCAACAAATTCTAAATATTATTTTTTCATCTATTTCGTGTTTTTCTAGTAAATTCCAAATAAAATCAACCATAATGAGATAATACATTTAAAAAAACGTCAAGAGATCATTTTTTCGAAGACAAATTATTTTAATTGTTCAATAAATATTTCTTGTATGACACATAAATGACATTTCAAATGTCATCTAAACAATGTGAATCTTTTGAATCACAGTGAATCAAATGAATCATGTCTACCCCCTAGATAAAATGTAACGAAAAATAATAATTGAAAAGTGATAAAAACCGTAGGAAAGCTTGGCGGCTCTTGAACTTGTAGGTAAATAACAGAATGATCTTGGCCATAAGCATTTGTTGCCTAAAATTTAATTATTTTTTATAAAAAATTTATAAAATTAATTTTTCAATTAATTTATATTAATAATAAAAATTTCTTTTTAAAATACTTTGCATGCATATTCTCCGCGATCAGTTAACGATGATTGTAAGATTGTCAATTCGGATACTATTCCCTTATTCATTGGAGTATTTTTGAGTTGATATCGAATATCATATGTAGGATCTATGCGATTTCCCCTCGCCTGCCACGATATATTCAACGGTTGATCACCTTCTGCCTCGCAACGTATCGAAACATGATCGTTTCGACGAACTGATACTTGTTTTTGTGGTATTCTCACTTTCGGTCCGACTAAACAGTATAAGAAAATACAAGAATAGGTGAGTTTACAAATAAATACGTATTTCAAAATGTTTTCAAGTAGACTCCTCACCATGAACTGTTAACCGTATCAATTTACTCAAGCCAGCGCCGATTTCATTTTTAGCTTGACATAAAAAGTTACCTTCGTGCGATTGAGTCACATTTGGAATATAAAGCGTTCCATTGGCAAACGTTTCAATGCCTTCTGATTTTGAGTAGCTCAGGTCACGATATTCGTCAGAAGGTTCGCCTGCGTGCAACACATGATAATTAGTATGGTTTTGTAATGAAGTGTTATTACAGTAATGAAAAATTCCAAACCTATTGCTTGCTTCCATAGAATAGTTGGTGTCGGTGATCCTTTTGCTTCACACGGAATCGTTACGGAATTACCCAATATTACACTTTCATCTGTTGGCTCCACAATCCATTTTGGTGGCACTAATGATTGAAACAGCAATTACTTAACCACACTATGCACAAATTTAGCAAATATATAAGAATATATGCATGCAAAAGTAAATAAAAGTATACTGCCCCTATGGTTCTACAAGTATATAGATAAAGTTAGTAAAAAATTATGAAATAAAATTCTAGTGAATTCCGAAAAAAAACGTCAAGTATCATTGTATTACATTAATATACAACTGAAGAATTCAGTTCATTTTTTTCCAATGAAATATATAAGTGTATAAATCATCACAAATAGCAATTTGAGGATACTTGTATAGTCTTAAAAAGATAATTCATCATGCAAAATACTGAAATACTGCGTTCATATTTCTCTTTATTATATATATGTATATAGTATGTGGACTGTAAAAAATCAGTTCCGAGGAAATATCTGTTGATATTTTAATTAAAAAATGCAAATGGTTTTAATTTCAGTTCGGTTCAGTTAAATACAGTTATTTGCTTAGCATATAGTTTGTTAGTTGTTGTATGTGCAAGTGCATAGTATATTAAATTTTGAACCTGAAAATAAAATGAATATAATAAAACTAATAATATGCGAACAAATTAACTTTTTAATATTGGATGTGTGTGTGTGCGTGTTGGGTTTTTCCGCTTTGTGATTTATGTGTATCGTTGTGCAGTTTTTTTCTATCTTTTGTTTGTTTATTTGTTTTCTTTATTCAACGTGAAAATATTGAATAACTACGAAAAAAATCGTATTTACTTATCCATGATTTATATTCAAAGAAAGAAAGAATGAAAGGAAGTATTGAAAAAAATGGTGCAAAAATATTCAGTGAATTTATGTAGTTTTCCATCCAGTTCAACTAATGTTTGAAACGAACAAATATAAATGCAATATCTATGTACGAACGTACCGGCTACGGAAAGAACGGCAGTATGATCAACAGTGCCACCTTGGTTACTAATTTGGCACGTGTAATTTCCGTTATGTGCCGATGTGAGATTTTCAATAGATAAAATACTTGAAAATGGCGCATATTCATTTATATGAATGGTATTGTCTACATAGTACTGCGGCGATTGTTCGTTCATTTTCCATGTTCCATAGTCAGTGTCTGGGCCGGGAATGCCACCGTTTGGTTTCTTATTGGTATTTCGTGTATAAATGATTTTTTGGTCTTTTAGCCAGGTTATATTGAATGTTGCTGGGTCGCCTTGGGATGTCGAGCACATCAGTTGAGTGCGCAAACCTTCTGTTATATCCTTTTCAAAATTGAACGGTGATATTCGCGGTGGAACTAAAAGAATAGATTTTGTTTTATGCGTTAGTTAAATGGCAAGTCATCGATCCATCATAAATGTCAATAGACCATGTTCATCGTTAAAGGTGCTCTTTGTGATTGGTGCTTTTCATATGCATGTTTGGAGTTTCGCAGGTGATTTTGTGCTTTGCATCTGACTTTTTTGTGCTTCGTGATTCATTGAAATACAATGAAAAAAAAAACTACTACTACATGTACTACTGCATGCTCGTTATTATTGTACATTCAAAACTACATCAAAACATGCCAACGTTAACAACATAAGCCGTCTACAGTTTTTCGAAACTGAAAAAAATGATATGCTTTGGTTATTTCAATAATATTTTACCATTGACCCTTAACACAGCGCTGTATGTTTCTTTGGCGGCATCATTTGCCACCACACATTTATACGTTCCACCCTGATTTGGTTGCAGTGAGTTGATACTTAAAGCAGACGAAAACTCATCATTTTGACGTATAATAATTGAGTTCTCTTCATTGCCTGGTGTCGACTTTCTGTTTGTCTTATCATCTTTTATTGATGATGCACTAACTATTGGTATATCGTCTTTAAACCATGAAAAAACTAGAGGCAAGTCACCTGTGCCTACAACACACTGAACACTAACTCGATCGCCTACATTTACATCTTTGGCAAACTCGAATGGTGTGATTTTTGGAGGAACTAACACATTTTGTTTGTTTTTAGATTCATATTTTGTGCATTTGGTTTCAATTCAGTGCAATTTATTTTTAAACGGAATTAAGTGGTGCATATTTGTTATCATTGCAATTTGGTGTAATTGTGATTGGAATGTGCATTGTTTATTGTGATTTTGTGCATATTTTGCATTAGAAATTAGAAAATTAGATTATAGCAAATGTGCAGATGCAGATATTGTTGAGTGCGCAGTGATTTTGTGTGCATTATAAAAAGAAGAGAAAAAAAAGAAGAATTCAATTTGAATTCAAATTTGCTTTGCTTTGCTTAATGATTCGGATGAAAGTTTATTTGTTTTATAAGTTGTATTTGCAAAAGATGTGTTCTGTTATCCGACCATTTAATCGCTTTGAATCAACTTACCCAAAACAGTAACGGCAACCGATCGCTCAGAAGTTTCGTTGTGTCGATTTCTTGCGATGCACGTATATGTACCTAATAAATGATCAAGGTAAGTTATAATGATAAGCGAGACTTGAAGATACACAGCATCAAACACAGACAAAAGGAGGTTCCAAATTGATCAAATGATTTAGATCATTTAAATAATTAATTTGTTGGCTTCTTCTGTTTGTGTCTGATGCTGTGTATAACTTTTTTCGCATTTGTCACATTCGAATCTTTTTCCTCCCAAATTTTGTATCGATGCAGTGCATCAAATTAAGTAATTTTGTTATTTTCACAATAAAATATGGCAATAAAATTTGAAAAATTATTAGCACAAATCTTTTGTATTATAAATTATCAAATCATTCAGATCAACCAAATCCAGAAAGGAATAACGTATAATTTCCACGGTGATCAGCTTTTGGACCATCATCCCACAACCAAGTACATAATTAAATAAGAAAAATCCAAGTATAAGTACCCTGATCAGCAACTCGTTGGACGTTCTCAATGTAAAGCGTTCCGTTACTCACACGCTGTCACATATTTGTCGGTAGTCTTACATTTTCTCGCTCGAATATAATCTCTTCAATCGGATAACCAGCCACCGGGCATTTTATCTGCAATTTTTTACCTGCAATTGCTAAAATTGGTTCCATTGGTCGAACGTATGGCGATCCTTTATAAATAAATCATTCCAATAAAAAAAAAGATTAGATGGTTTGAAAACGGAACCATTTTTCATGTCTCACCCTTGTATTAAATGTAATTTCAAGCGTAAATTAATTATTCAAAAGCTCACCATAAATATTTAGTCTGCCAAAGTGAGAGGCGGAACCGGCTTTTGACACAGCGGTACACTCATAGCCTCCACCGTCTTCAGATTTAACGGCTGTTATATTGACATGACTAATTACATCGCCAAACATCGTGACATATTGACCGATTAGCAAACGATCCAACTATGTGTGCGAAATAAAAAATTAAGAGTGAAAAACACAAATGTATCAGACACATAAAATGAATGAATCTCTTTCACAATTTCCAAATATTTGGATGGTTACATACTTCTGGCAATGGAAACCCATCTAATTTCCATGTTATTTGTGGTGTTGGATTGCCTGTTGCCGAACCTAAATCCCCATCCGCATTCATGTAAATAAATCATTTTTTTAATAAACCTTTTGCACAAATAGCAGCGCACAGAGAGTTTACCTCAAATTAAACACAAAATTCAAATCACAAGAGAGGAAAATTATTAGAGGTAAAAATTAATTTTAAAGACGATTAAAACTCAGAAATGAAATTAAATGAACAAAAACTCAAGATAGCAAGGGAGATATTTCAAAGTGAGAAGAGGAGCACATCTACAAAGTTGTCTTCAAAGTTGAAAATGGCTGTGTGATTGCTTACATTTCAGTGAAACGGACGGACCCGGTTGCATCGTTTGCTCAATGAATTTGTATAAAAGCTGCGGTGCTCCTTCTACAAATAAATAGCATAAAGACAAAACATTGAAAGTAAAAACCGTTCTCGTGTTTGACGCTTATCAATTTATTATTTCTAAAAAAGCCACATAAACACAATTTCAATTTTATAGAATTCTCGGAGCATTCATATCTGGCAAAACGCAAACGGTGATTATAAATTTAGTGGAAAAAAAGGTCAAATTAAATTAAAAGCTCGTCGTCAAATTGCCTATTAACTCAAACGTAAATTAAATAACCAGAAAAAAAGCAACACACACAAAGAAAAAGAAAAACAAAAATGCTAGACGAAATTAAATTGAATACTCTTGTTTCGTCGCTGTTGCATTTGTGGTGGTTTACCATTACCAATGTTGACGGTCAAGACATAATTAGTGTCTTCAAAGCACTTCAACGAAAATAACGATGGTACGGTAACACATAGAAAAAAAAGAGCATACCTCCTAATCTGATCTCAGCAGTACTTTGCACCGCATCATAGTCATTTCGAACAAAGCATTGGTACAGTCCTCGGTCTTGTGAAATTTTTTGCGAAAAAGAGAACGATAGAATAAATCACATTTCTCGTTTGGCCATTTTTAGAGAGAGAAAAAATACATGCAATCATTGAACAAACCTTCTTTTGTCACTGATGTTATTTTAATGTGCTCTTTGGTGAGTAGTCTCACACGCGAGCCCGTTCTTAATGGTTGTCCGTCTTTTAGCCATTGCACACCATTTCCAAGCGGGAATCCTGTTGCTATACATCGCTGCACATTTTAACGTTGTATCATTACCATTAGATATGAAAGGAGTAAATAAATGGTACAAATCATTTTGAAAATGGTATTGTTATAAGTTTAAGAATTAAAAAAAAAGAAATCTGTGGTAGCTTATGGTTTACAACGGAACGTTCACCCTTATTTACTAAACTAATTCTTCTCTCCAATAACAAATGTGAAACTTTTTAATATCTCTGAACTGTAGTAACTGTCACCGGCACAAAGTAAAATATGAAAGGAAACTATTCAATTTTAATTTGTTTTGGGAAATGTAACTGTACCGTGATAAGAGTACGTTTAGCTCTCGGTTGTCATTGTTGTTTTATGTAGAAAAACTAATGACATTCAACAAGGATATACAAAAACCTCCGCGATGGAACGATTTATTGTGAATGATGAATTCATTGCAATACATACCAAGTCGGTGCTCTTTCCCAAGTCAACAGTTTGTTGTGCTGGTAAGATTTGTACGGTCAACGCTTCAATGACGCTTAGTTGAATTTCCAATGTTTCGCTTCCCTCTGAATTTGAAGCAACACAAATATATACACCAGCGTCTGAGCGTTTAATGTCGTTTAGGCTTAATGTTCCACTCGGAAGTACGAATATACGTTTTAGTTGATTGCTATTGTTATTGCTATTGTGCTTCATTTGATATGGTTGGTGTTTTTCTTGTGGGGATGACAGTGTAATGGATTGATGAGTGCGATGTGCAGCCTTAAAATCTTGATTTACATCGTATCCGTCAATGGCTTCGTCAACGTTATTTTTACGAATATGCCATCTATAAATATTGATATAAAGATACAGGTATATATGTAATTGCTTCCTAATAAAAAAAATCCACAGCAATCATTACAGTTAATGGTCGGTGGGAGAAAGTCGCCATTTGTAATACAATTAATCTCATAGGATATCTGCTATTGATCTATTTCATTTCATACTGTTTTAATAGATAAAATCTGTACTTACCGATAATTTGCTCGTGGATTGGCGTAAGCCACACATGGAATGAGTAATGATTCGCCAATTTTCGTTGTCATTTGTATGAGTTTGTCATTTAATATCGGTGGGACTGGTTCTCGCATTCCTGTAACATTCCAAAATTCAAATGATAAATGAAAAAGGCACCAAATTCTGTTTAAACACACTCGTTTTATTCATGCATAATGGAATTTCGCAAAATGTAAAATACTTTTGTTGTATACATGTTAAACTGTGAACGTCGAGCAAAGGTAACCATAGAGAAAATATATTCAATTTCCAATATTATTGCCAACAAAAGGGAATTTCCAGTTTTCTCAGCGGACTTAAATTAAGAAATCGTATATATATGTGCACAATATTTGATGAAAGGTTTTTCTTCTTTCAAGTTTCCATTTCGGTTCCAAGGGAGCATTCGACTTTTGACTGCCGAAACGTCGTATCCATTTGGAAAATGGGTGAAAAGCACTCTACTGGAAATTGGAACATATTCACTGTGACAAACGGATAAGTTTCGGCCAAACATGATAAAAGTGTCTAAAAGAATCAAACATATCGTCAACGATATTTGAAATTCAATTTTAAGCAAATACAGTTCGAGTTTCTAAGAACTCGACGGACCTAATCGACAATGTAAAGTCAAACAGTAAACGTTTTGAGAATATTGAATCGATCCGACCGAAGATTTTGTCAGTCAGAAATAATATGGCAATCAATACGTTTGTAACGAATCGTACCCTTTGCTTGCACTAAAAATGCTAGACTTTGAAATTCAAATGAGAGTATATTGTATATTTTTGCGGTCAATTTTATACAATAAACTCAACACATAATACCCAAATGGTTTCGCTCGAAATTGCGTTGCGAATTTTCATCGGAGTCGAATTCTCTTTTTGTATATTTAGTAGTAGCGATTTAATCTTAATATCAAATTTGAGATAATTCTAATAACTTATTATTATAAGCAATGCAAGCAAGTTTCTATTTTTCAAATAAACGATAAAAACTATCTATCAACAAAAAATATATCTGAATAATATCCTGTTCCGTCATTTTTGACTACATAATTCATGTCATATATATTTGAAAATCGCAGATTATGACATCGTATATGAAGTATTTGGTTTAAGCTATAATATGGTGATTTAGTGTATGAAATGGAAATGTTGCTGTGTGCCTCTATTTAATGATATGTTACACTGACATCCAATGCAATGTGTTTCATGTTTCAGTGACACGAGTGTTGAAACGAGCTTCGAAATTTTCGATTCGTCCACTAAACAGATGTTTGCTTTGCCTCTTTTCGTATGCCCTCAATACAGGATTGTTCGTTTGAACAAACCATGCATGCCGATGCATACATTCGTGAAACAATCCAACGTGTACAGTTTTATGTACACACAACAGTACAAATGAAAAAAAAAAATCACGACAAATTAAATTGAAGTTGTTAATTGAGCGCACTGAATTTACATACGACGAATCAATTGAGTTGAAATACGGCATCATCGATTTTATCTCGAATTCATTGGAATTTGCTCCAATTCAAATAACACTTCTTCATATCCTTCATTTTTTGTGTTAACTTTGAAATACTTCAATAAATTGAAATTCGGATTAAATTCAACTCAACTCAAAAGAATGGAGTATGCATGAATTTTCCCGAATCCGCATTCGAAATGAATTCGGCAGATTGCATTCATTAAGGCTCTGGGTGAAACTGCAATGAATAAAAACCGAATCAGATATTTTGCGAACGAATTTACATCGTCGAATGACAGAACAGCTGGAGGATAGCAAATAAATCAAGGCATGCATACACTAATGTCGCATTTTAGATGGAAACAAATCGTACATACTCCATTCATCTTTTGAGCACCCGAATAAACTGTTATGTGTTTCACATGAATGAGAAAACTTTCGTTGCAAATGAGTTTCTGTTCGCCATTAGAAACGTAATTTAAATTTACCAAACGTACACTACTTATTATGGAGTGGTTGAACAACTTTAACATGTTTCATCGATAGCATGCGAAATTCGCTTCGAGATACCACACAGTCCCCACAACATTACCCCAGATCTCACCTGAATATTCTCGTTATTCTATATTTAGTGGAACATGTAGAAGTTCCATTAATGAACAGTTCACAGTCCAGAAGATACACCCCAATATCTTTGCGTAAAGTTCAACCTCTAACACATACATATATGAATTTCAATTATTATTTACGACATGAAAAAAATCATCCAAGCAAATATTATTATTATCAGACAATGTTTCCGACGCGTAGATCATAAATCAATGTTCAACAACTTAAGGTGGACGTGCAAAGGAAGTTCGAACACAACGATGATGATAATAATAATAAATTTATTCGTTCGAACTTCAACATACGTATCTCCCCCGTATACCGATTAAATTAATTTTTCAAACGGACCGTATAGAGGGCATAAAATACGGCAGTATAACTAACTTTTCTTTTCATCAACATGAATAACAGGCAGGTGAATTGAAAGTGCACACGATACGTGCCGTAAAATCAACATACTAACTGTCAATTAAATTGCACAATTTGTCATTTGACTTTACAATCTATTGATTTCAGGCGCTATGAACAAATGAAAAAAAGACAAAAACTTACCGCTTAATTGTATTCTGCCAAAGTTTCCACTAACAATCACTTCTTGAGTCAACTGATGATATGTGCGACATCGATATGTATGTTGAGCATCCGAATGTGTTATATTAATGATCAATAACTCTCCTGTTGAAAAATAGCATAAAGCAAATATATTTTGCTATTGGTAAATAACTAGAACACGGAAAACAGAAAAGACAAATTTACCCGTTGGCAGCATGTGATACTTTCCATCTGTGCAACAAAAAAAGATAAGAAGAATTCAAGTGATATAAAAAAGCTATTATTTCGAAGTGATAATATTTACACAAGAATGTAAGGACGCTTTAATTATTTGGTGTTATATTAAAATACATGTCTTCGTTTATGGTTTTTTAAAAACATTCACGCGTACAACGTTTTACTTTAATTAATGGATTAATCGATCCAAAGTTCTACATTTGCATTTCGTACCAGTTTTGCTATTAAATATTATCGATTGAAATTCGAATTATTTTATTTCTTTGTGCGGTTTTTGAGAGAAAGATATTTAAATCTATGGGTGAGATCTAAAAGAACGTATGTTTTTTTTTCGCTTTAAATTTTGGAAAAGGAATGTATGTGTTTTGCCAATTCTGTCTTACTAAAAGAAAAGTATGTTTTGCACCAAAAAATTTTTGTAAAAGGGAAGTATGTTTTCCGGCTTAATCAGTTGCTGATAAAGGAACGCATGTTTCGCACCAAATAAATTTTGCAAAAGGAAAGTAAGTGATTTTGAATCAGTTGTTAAAAAAGGGATGCATGTTTAACGATGATTTTTCTGGAACTGGGCTTCGATGGATCCTCAGGATCATCAGAACCGCTCCCAGTTCTGGAAGTGGGTTTTGGTGGATCCTCAGGATGGACCAGACTATGGTTTGACAATGCCCTGGCCCATCCTGAGGGTCCACTTCCAGAACTGGGAGCGGTTCTGATGATCCTGAGGATCCACCAAAGCCCACTTCCAGAACAAAGACACTTACGTTCTTTTATCCAAACCAACAAAACTGAAACATGCATCCCTTTTCCAACAACTGATTCAGCCGAAATACATACTCTCTTTTTTCAAAATTTATCTGGTGCGAAACATGCATTCCTTTTCCAATAACTGATTCAGCCGTAATACATACTCTCTTTTTTCAAAATTTACTTGGCGCAAAACATACATTCCTTTATTGCGACAAAGTCGAACACACTTGCGTTCTTTTAGATCTCACCAATAGAAATGTCATATCTAAATAAAAAAATTTCGTGTATATGATAACCACATAAGCTTTGAAAAGTTTATACTAAAGCCAAAATAAGATGCAATCTTGTCCAATCGGAAGAAAATGAAATAAGACGTAATTCTGTCAAATGCATGTAGCTTCGCATATTTGCCAGCGAGCTATTTACAAATTGATTGACCTACAAGTAAATTAACTTTTCTGCATTTGACAAGTTTTTCTTTTACAATTTTTTTTTTTCTTTGTGATAAGTGATAACTCATTAATGCGACAGAGAATTCAATCACTTTTCGATTTCGTTGTAATTATTTAAATTCGTCAGTTACAAGCGACAGCTGAAAGCGTTAGCTGGCGTTAGCACTCCATTTTGTGGTTATTATTTACTCTAATATTTTCTCGAACTTCGATAGCAGCAAATATCTCATTTCAAAACAACTGCGATGAGAAAACTTATGCGAAGGAAGAAGTTAGAAAATGTGACGTCGTGGTAAAAGCATTCATGGAAGACGACAGTTTTAAGACTGCCATATTTTTTCAAACTTTCAAGTTCTATTCCCGAAAACACTGAAAGTCTTTGAAATGTTCTGTTTTCTATCTAAATGTATTGGTGAGTGGCATGAAGAGATATTACAAGTGCAAGTATTGCATGCAAATTATCATCTCTGAAGCGTTATAAGAATAACGAAACACGCATAAATACTCATCCAGATCGATTTCATTACGAAGTTTCTACAAATTTATTCAGCTGTAAAGTTTTTGCACATCACATAAACTTTGTGGTGAATGGTTTGGTGTGCTCATGTGAACCTCGAAAACTTTGACCAAAATGAAGAAGTACATGTGATGCATGCATTGAAATTACTTCATCTTTCATTGCGGTTGTGATATTTCCAATTTAGTTTGCGAAGCGTTCCGAAAACATATGCAATTTTTGGTGAACATGGAAAACACAAATTTATCCCATATACAAACGATGCACAGGCAAATTGAACGATGTGAGCCATTCAAAAGTATGCAATGTTGTTTTTAAAAGGGACAAAGACACTTCTTTCTTAAGACGATTCAACGCGAATTCCCCAAAATAATTACGAGACAAATCAAATAAACTGAAACTTTTAATTGACAAAATAAATGAACAAAAGTCGAAAATGTGTTATTTGAGAAAATTCGATGTGTAGGTTTGTGCTTTCCATTTGAATTTGATGAACAAATAATAAAATAACACCTTTCGAAACTTTTCTCATCCATTTCGTTCAATGGTTATGTGAAAATGTTAAATAGCATCGATGTATTAACCAAGTGTTTACTAAAATTTTGGAAAAATGTATGAACTTTGTTATGGAATTTTGCAAGAAGATCTACTCTATTTTTAAAAGTTATCTCGAACAAAATGCTTCAACATTGTGTGTGTGCATGGTCTATGGCGTTGTCATAAACCGAGCTCATAATGTGCAACAGAGTGGGATGTGATTTAATACGCTGAAGCTGCGGATGCATTAAAACTTTTGTGCCACAACTGAATGCTTTTACATCATTATGCTACATTCCATTGTAACACATGTTGTTCACTGAATATTCGTGCTGTATCATTATTATGTCTCTCTTTTGTCTCTCACTTTCATTCCCTCTCTCTCTCTCTCTCTCTCTCTCTCTCTCTCTCGAGTACACGACAACCATTAATCGATGGCAATGATAATATTTTGAAGAAGCCAACATCAATAAATAACTCACATTTTGTGTATACAATAAATAAAAGTTACACATTGGACTGAGTTTCTTGTTTACTCTGCATGAATTTCCGACAAAAATGACAAAAGAACAATGCATGAATAGACTAGATATTGATTATTCTTCACTCTTGAGATTATGTGGGCAAATACGTAGTTACTTCATCAAATACTTGATCTTCGAAACCTGTATCTTTTTATGACGACCATTTTCTCAGTAGCAACCGTAAATTCGTTGATAGAGCATACAGTCTATGATTAAAGAATTGGAACAAAGTGCACGCCAAGTAATTACATATCCGTTTTTTCCATTATGGCTCATATGTGGATTATGTCTCCAAGGAAATTTGATTGACGACGTGACGAAAATAGAGTGTAAATATCCCTTCACTGAAGACGTGATGTGCTCCGCTAAAGTTTCAGTTTATTAGAGTCAAACATTATCATCAACATCAGACCACTTTTTTTCTTTCTCTCTCTTTTATCTTTGTCTTCCAGTAAACATTGAAAAATGGTAAAATAAATTGATCGTTCGAAATGTGTGATTTTGACAATCAATTTTTGACAATTTGTGGTAACATTTCTCAACTGATTTTACTTGATGGTTGTGTCTCATCATCTGATATATTCTTGCATATATTAACAAGATATTCTATCAAGTGTATGCCAATCATAAATAATGGATTGCAATATTGGTAACAGAAAAGAAAGCGACGAACAACAGCGAAATGGAAATTCATGGCAACGGATTTTTTGCGGATAGAATTGGATTCTGTTTTCTGCTTTCGTGTCAAATTCACATGTGATAATAAAAGAAGACGAAATGGATAATCGTGAAGAGCAAACAATGGCGTGAAACCAATAGAACGCATTGGCTTGAGACCGCTTTTTTTGCCAACAATCCAATAACGATAGCGATACCAACTTTACAAATGGCACACGCTCCACCATAATAGCTGACATTCGTGGTTTTTTTTTTCAATCATGATTTTATGGTCTTTGTTCATCTTGTTTTTTTTTCGCATCCAGTCCATTATTCTATTATTGTGTGGAAAACAAAAAAAAACTTTAAAACACACACAATTCTAAAACTTGTTCTGATTATTTTTTTCTGTCTTTCTTGTTTGCAACTTGTACGACATTGAAAAGCGCACCACGCTGTAAGTATATAATCTTGTCGGTTTTATCAATTTGTTGGAAGGCTTTTACTTTTCCGTGCAAGCGACAGAGTACACAGAAAATATTGCAATCACCACAAACATATTTTGGGTTTAAATGCATGGGAAAATGATTTTTAGAAAAAACATATATCGAACGAGATAATCTGTGAAATATGTGAAATAGAAATGAAACACATTTTTGAAATAAATTTTTAGATTTTACTTTGAGCATAGCTTCTGGAGTTGACGATTCAAGGAGGGGGTGCGGCTAATTTCAAAATTTTCCTAAAATGTAAAGGGATAACTTTTTCTATGGTTTCTCCCAAATTCAAAAGTGCATTATTTGATTTGTTCATTCCTAGGGGTGGGGGGTTTCTCCAGATTCAGAAAGTGAACAGCTAAAAAAGGTCTTCACTTTTTTCGCGAAAATCCCTAGCATATCGAAAAAATATTTTTTCAATTTGTAAAGGGGTAATTCCCAAATCTGTTCTCCAGAGGGAGTAATCCAACCCCTCGAACCCCTGGTCAGAAGCGATGTCTTTGAGAAGGAATCTTTCTATATAAAGAAATTTTATTATCGAAATATCAAAAAATAACAATTGCATTCAATAAAGTACGTAGAACTTATTGTAATGGACACTTTTTCTATAAAAAATCTTAATATTTCTACAAAACAGCTAGAAGTTAATATCACGTTAGTTAATTTCCTGTTTTTGTACAACTTTCTATTATTTCTATGTGTCCTATGTAAGAATTGCATGTTGTGAATTAGAGTGTTGAAAGGTTATACTTACGACTGTAATATCCTTTTTGTTTTTCAGTGAAAAACAAACCAAAAAATGAAAATTGCAATGAAACTTCTTCGCGGTGACGTGATTAAGAAACCAAGGAATTTCCCACATTTTCATGTAACAAAATCAAAGTGGTTTCCAAAACTGTAGTAGTAAAAGAACACGTGTTTGCAGAATGACACGTTTCACACCATATCCTCTGAGAACCATTTTGGTATAGTCAGTGATATCGATTATTTTTTTTTACTTACTCAAGTGAGGTAAAACTATTGTATAAGGTGAATAGATTTTCTTATATGTTTTTATTAGAGT